ACTCATATTGCCCGTCGTGGTTAACAGCACAAGCACTGAAGTAGTCTTGGATTTGAACCCCAGTTCTGTCACCTACCTGGCTGTATAACATTGGGCAAGTTACTTAAATTCTCTATGCCTCAGCTTCCACATCTATAGAATGAGATAGTAATAATAGTACATATCTTATAAGGTTATGGTATTAAATTAGATCATGAATCCAAGGGCTGGGTGCAGTGGCTCATGCCTGTAATCCCAACACTTTGGGAGGCCGAGGCGGGCAGATTGCTTGAGTACGGGAGTTTGAGACCAGTCTGAGCAACATGGTGAAACTCTGTCGCTACAAAAAGTTAGCCAGGCATGGTGGTGCACACCTGTGGTCCTAGCTACTTGGCAGGCTGAGGTGGGAGAATCACTTGAGCCTGGGAGGCCGAGGTTGCAGTGAGCAAAGATCACTCTACTGCACTCCAGCCTGAGTGACAGAGTGAGACTGTCTAAAAAAAAAAAAGAATGCATTTAAAACACTTGGCACAGGACTAGGCACAGAATAAGTAATCTGTATTATTTCACCCTCAGCACTCTTTTCTGCTAAGCCCTGGCTTCAGAACCCTTCTCAACACAGGCTTCTAAGTATCTATGATCAGGTGCTGTCACTGAGATAAAACAAATCTGCTATTCCTAGTCTAGAATATGAGTCCACTGTTTACTACTTTATGGCTTTTTCCCCACTACACTTGCCACCACTCACTTTACATGCCTAAAAAAATCCAGAGGTAGTCAGATATCCAGACTAAACTTCAATCACATATTCCTTGATCCCTCAGTAAGATATTGGCTTGGACCAAAAATCTCTAGAGAAGAAAATCCCTGGCAACAAGGTATATTTACTAAATGTCTATAGGGAGAGAACCACAGGTGAAAGAACAAACAAAAACCCAGTGATTACTGCTTGAAGAAGCAAGGGATGGGAACTTCCAGTCTGCCCGCTGGGGGTTTACCAACTTATCTGGGAAAAGGAGATGTAACACTGACTGCCACTTCCTCCTTGATGTACCTACCGCACCCCCCTCACTATCACAGTATCTGTGACATATTTTGCATGTACTTATCACTCTTTCTCTACTCATACCAGTCTGTGAACTCTCTGAGGGCAATTATCACACTTTATCCATCTTGGTATTATCAGGCACACCAAAGTGCCTGGCACACAAATGTTTCAGAAGTTTGAGGACTAAGTTGAGAAATGAGGGAACAAACTTAAACAGAGAAAGCAATAAAAGGCAAGGGGAAAAGGTATTAGTGTAGATCAGAATAGTCCAAGAAGCCAAGGGAGCTAGAACTTTAAGGGGCAGGTGGAATTTCAAAAGGCAATAAGGGAAAAGAAAGGCATTCTAGGCAGACTGGACAGCACCAACAAAGCCTGGCAGTAATTAGAAACAGTACATAGAGTGCTACAGCCAGAAAGAGCTAGAGACGATTTCATCCAATAATTCAATTCTCATGGGGATGTCATAAACATTTAATAAAAAAGCATATACCATTAGGCAGAAGAGCTGGCATATCACAAACATCCACTAAATGGTAGCTATCATACTACTAATCAAAAATAATGATTATCAAATACTTATTGGGTGCCTACTGTATGCCAGGAACATACTGAGTGAAGAGAATACAATGGTGAGCAAGATACACTTGGACTCTGCTCTCGCACGAAGCTTACAGTCTAGTGGGGAAGGCAGACAATTTTATAACGCTTGGTGGGGCTGGCCTAGGCAAAGTACAAGTAGGCTGAAGGAACATAAAGTGGGGTCACCCAGGCTGGGCACGGGGGCTCACACCTGTAATCTCAGCACTTTGGGAGGCCGAGGTGGGCGGATCACGAGGTCAGGAGATCGAGACCATCCTGGCTAACACGGTGAAACCCCGTCTCTACTAAAAATACAAAAAATTAGCTGGGCGTGGTGGCGGACACCTGTAGTCCCAGTTGCTAGGAAGGCTGAGGCAGGAGAATGGCGTAAACCCGGGAGGCGGAGCTTGCAGTGAGCCGAGATCGCGCCACCGCACTCCAACCTGGGCGACAGAGCAAGACTCCATCTCAAAAAAATAAAAAAATTTTTTTAAAAATTTAAAAAGTGGGGTTACCCAATCAGTGGACTATAACAGAAAAATCCTTGGTTTTCAAAGGGTGGCTTCAAGCACCTTAGGGGTTCTGTTGAATCCATTCAAGGACCACAAGGCTTCAGAGTGAGATTTTGTTTGAATAAAAGGATTCATGACTAAATAAAGGTTTAAAAACCACCAATCTAGGCCGGGTGCAGGGGCTCACGCCTGTAATCCCAGCACTTTGGGAGGCCGAGACGGGTGGATCACGAGGTCAGGAGATTGAGACCATCCTGGCTAATACGGTGAAACCCCGTCTCTACTAAAAAATACAAAAAAACTAGCCGGGCGAGGTAGCGGGCGCCTGTAGTTCCAGCTACTCGGGAGGCTGAGGCAGGAGAATGGTGTAAACCCGGGAGGCGGAGCTTGCAGTGAGCTGAGATCCGGCCACTGCACTCCAGCCTGGGCGACAGAGCAAGACTCCGTCTCAAAAAAAAAAAAAAACACCAACCTAGTCCAATCTCCTCTTTTAACAAGAGTAAAACAGGGCCAAAGAGAGATAAATTATTCACCTGAGGCAATAATATTAATACCTCAAGTTAGCTGCAGGCTGGGATACCTGCTTTGAACTCTGGCTTGAGCTAGAAACTGCTCACTGAATCTGCATGATTTCATATCATTTTGGTAAATAAATAGGACTTGGGAGTGGACACATCCAGATTCACAGTCACTAGCCAGGCAATGCCCTGGCTGGCCCTATTGGGTATTGAAGTGCTTTTCTACCTTAATTCCCAAGTTAGCTTTCTGTGCCCAAAGGGTGCATCTAATTCCTTTCAGAGGTTGGTTAGCCTCCCCTTTGAGGAGGAAATCACTAGCTCCAGGAGTAGACTGACACAGTGGCTCACACCTGTAATCTGAGCACATCTGGGAGGCCGAGGTGGGCGGATCACCTGAGGTTGGGAGTTCAAGGCCAGCCTGACCAACATGGAAAAACCCTGTCTCTACTAAAAATACAAAAAATTAGCCGGGCATGGTGGTGCATGCCCGTAATTCCAGCTACTGAGGAGGCTGAGGCAGGAGAATCGTTTGAACCCAGAAGGCAGAGGTTGTGGTGAGCCAAGACTGCACCACTGCACTCCAGCCTGGGCAACAAGAGCAAAACTCCATCTCAAATGAAAAGAAAAGAAAAGAAAGAAAATGTTATTTTCTCCTCTGCCAAAACTGCTCTTTATCTCAATGAACCCTGACATACACAACTAAAGCTTTGAGATATACATAATTGTCTCAAGGGAGAGCCCATGACTAACAAACCATAAATAAGAACTTCAATGCAGTATCTACCCTTTCCAAAGTGTCTTCAAATATATCTCACTGAACCACAGCCAACTGTAATCATAGAAATGTAAAAGCCAGAAGGGGTCTTAGAGGTCATTTCCACAACCACTTCACCTAACCAACCAACCGATATCCAAACACCTATAGTCTCTAGTGATTGGGAGGCAGAAGACTACAACACTTCTTTAAAAATTCCCCTGCTGTGATCACCTGCCAATTTCTCAGTCCCTTCCTCCCATCTTAATGATCTCAATCAGGTAACCCAACTCCTCCAACTCATCCCACTACCAGACAAGTCTTAGTGCTTCCCAAGTCCACTTCTCCCTTTCTCTGAACCTCATCTTCAATCATCCCCAATCCTCCCCACTCTTCCCACACCCAACACACAGCAAGGGGCCGCTAAGATTCTGATCCCTCAGAGATCTCCCTGGTTCTATCTCTGACAACCAATCCCCTTCCTCCTACTCCTGTGATGTCTCTGTCCGTATGCTGGCATGTGCAGGATCACAAACACCACTAGATCTCAATGCCTCTGGCTTCAAAATCTTTTCATTTTCCTTTTTCACCTCTCTCTCTGCTTCTCTGCCCTGCCCCTTCACTCCTTTCACACTCAACATCTCCTTTCTCCTAGTGATTCCTTCAAGGACCACTGGTAATTTAATATCCCAGTCTTTAAATGCCTATTAGATAGGTAAAGGGAACATACAATCTCAAGGAGCTCACCTTCAAGGAACTCATAAGTCTAGAGGGAGAGAGAGAGACACTTATTTATCGTTTAAAACTCAGCAACTCCGGGAAGCCTTCCCTATCCCAAGCTGAACTGTTACACACTTCTCAGTGCCACCATTATATCTTTAATGCAATGACTATTCTTGTCTGTCTCCCACCACTAGATTGTGGGCTCTTCAACAGAGGAGCCCCTTGTCTCCCTAGCACCTGGCCCAGGATCCGGAGCAAAAGTCATAATGTTTATTAAGTGAATAAATGTATGAACTCCGGCATACAATCATTTATTCATCCACTTGTTCCTTCATTCGTTGACGAAAACTTTACTGAGCGTAAATTAGATACAAAGTCTTAGAATGTAAGGATAAACAAAACATATCCAACTTTAAGATAACTCAAAGCTATACTACTAGTGGATTAGCACTCTTTCCAGGTCTGTGTCCCCAACCCCCATCCTAGGCTTAGACAGAGTCCTCTCCCACAGAGGAAGCCCTTGAAGAAATTCACGCCTCTCAAACTCAACTACCTCTCACAACTCAAACTACCTCTTAGCCCTTCGGTCCTACCCTAAGACCCCCAGCTAGTAATCACAAAATCTTAACACCCCCACCCCTCCGACCTCTCTCTCTGTCCTCCATCTCCAACCCTGAAGCTAATGCAAGTCTTCTACTCCCAAGGCCGCCTCGGAGTCCCCAAGTCAGGAGTGCCTCTGACTTCCCTCTCCACGCACCCGCCCCCTAGTCAGCTCCTTCCCTCTCAGGATCTTTCCCGTCTCTCCTAAGACCCCCACCTCCCGATACCTCACTGCCCCTCCTCTCAGTCTCAGGCTGAGTCTCTCCTCGTCTCTCAACTCCGCTTACCTCATCCAGCTCCCGATCCCCAGCAGCACCACCTCCAACCTCCACCTCCACCACTGCCGCCATCTTCACGGCTCGCCCCCTCACCGCAGTCCCCGCGCGAGCCAGCTGCTTCCGCCGTTCAAGTGCTCCTAGCCAATCGGCGGCTCGGACTCCAGCAGAGGGGGCGGGGCATCAAAACAGGCGGAGACTGTCAGGCATCAGGAGGTTATCTACCTGATGCACGTTTCAGGATCAAGGAGAGAGAGTCCCGTGCCCTTCCAAGCTTCAGGAAGGGAGCGTTCTTGGAAAATGAGAAATTTGAATCGCATTATTTTCAGTGGAACTATTTAACCAATTCTTCCCTTTGCAGAGCCAAATGGGAGAGTTCCTAAACGGGCAACTTTCGCGACGCTCCCTCAGTGTGGCCTCCAAGGAGCGAGACGTGGGGACTAGGAACTACGTTTCCCAAACTGCACTGAGGCTGACCCGGAAGTTTAAATTCCGCTCCCTCCACGAGAAAGAGTTGTAATGAGTGAAAATAAACATTAAAACACACGCAAATGTATTTTCCTGGCTGCAGCACCTGCCGTCTTGCCTCGGTAGGAGTCATTTTCAAAAACAGCAGCTTCTTGAGGCCCAGAACGCATTCCTGTGCTACGGAAAGCGGAAGAGTAGCTCTCGGGGTCAGAAGGCGAAGGTTAGAGGGCCGAATTGGCGGGAGAATAGGTTGGTGGTCCACGATCTGAGGCAACGGTGGCTCCGCGAGGTCCACGGTCCCGGGTGAGGGGCTTTGGGATTTGTTGATGGGGAGGGGAGTGGCCGAGAGGGAGGAGGGGTGGCCATCAAGGAAATGAACAGAGCAGCCTGTTCCCGATGAACAGTGAAAGCAGAGGTACGGCTTGAGCTCCAGAAACTGAGAGCTGGAGAGCCTTGCGGGACCTCCACGGCCCCCACATTCCGCGTCTTAGTTAGGCTGTCATGCCAATTCATACATTCCTGCACACTTTTCTAACCCACATCCTGCGGCCCCCGCTTCTGCCGTACCCTCGTTTTTGTACACCATACTGCCCCACCCCTACGTATGCCTTCGTAACTGATTTTTCAGCAGCATGTGAACTCGATACCTTGCAAGCCTGTAGCCCCAGTGCACACGCCTCTGGGCGTCCGCCTGGATCTGTCTGGTGAATGGAACTAGGATGGCTTGTGAGTCCACAGAACGTCTAGAAAAGTCAGCTTTATATTGGGACCAACAGAAAATTACAGGGAATTATTTACATCATCTACAGGCATCTCATGTACTTAAAATAAAAATAATTATTTTCATTTTGTGAAACTTAATACGGAGAATGTTATAAACACCGTACACCCATCACCCTAAATTGACTATTGGCCTTATGATTTATTTGCTTACTCATTTTTTAAAAGCTAGGTAATACAATAAAAGTTAAACTTACCTGTTTTTTCTACTCTCAAGCCCATTACCCTCTCATCTTCTCCAGAAGCAACTATTATGGATTAGAATTAGCTTGTGTTCTCCCAATCCATTTTTAAAAATGATACGTAGCCATGACTATACAGTATTGTATTGTGTTTCATTTTGTTTTTTAATCCAAGTGCTTTTTTTTTTCTTTGAGACGGTGTCTTGCTCTGTTACCAAGGCTGGAATGCAGTGGTTCAATCTGGGCTCCCTGCAGCCTCCGCCTCCTGGGTTCAGATGATTCTCGTGTCTCAGTCTCCCGAGTAACTGGGACTACGGACACGCCACCACGCCCGGATAATTTTTGTATTTTTAGTAGACACGGGGTTTCGCCATATTGGCCATGGTCTCGAACTCCTGACCTCAAGTGATCCACCTGCCTCGGCCTCCCAAAGTGCTGGGATTACAGGTGTGAACCACTGTGCCCAACCTGAGTGATACAGGGTCTGGCTCTGTCACCCAGGTGGACTGCAGTGGCGTGATAACTGCTCACTGTAGCCTCCATCTCCCAGGCTCAAGCAATTCTCCCACCTCAGCCTTCTGAGTACCTGGGACTATAGGCATGTGCCACCACACCTGGCTAATATTTTAAATATTTTGTAGAGATCGGGTCCCACTATGTTGCTGGCCTTGAACTCCTGGGTTCAAGCAATCCTCCTGAGCCTCTGCCTCCCAAAGTGATGAGATTACAGGTGTGAGCCACTGTACCCAGCCTTTTAGGTATAATTATTTGTCTTTATTTTATTTTGTTTTATTTTATTTCATTTTTTGAGACAGAATCTCACTTTGTCACCCACGCTGGAATGCAGAGGGGTGATCTTGGCTCACTACAACCTTTGCCTCCCAGGTTCAAGCAATTCTCCTGCTTCAGCCTCCCTAGTAGCTGGGATTACAGGCATGTGCCACCACACCCAGCTAATTTTTGTATTTTGAGTAGAAATAGGGTTTCACCGTGTTGGCCAGGCTGGTGTCAAACTCCTGACCTCAAGTGATCCACCCACCTCGACCTCCCAAAATGCTGGGATTACAGGTGTGAGCCACCATGCCCAGCCTAGGTATAATTTTTTAAATATGTTGTGAGGTAGGGATCTACTTTTGTTTTTCTTCTCATTGTCAACCAATTTCCTGAGCATCATTTATTACTTTATTGCTTCTGACAGAATCATGATGCTGCTCTGAAGCGTGGGAGATCATGAACATGACAAAAATCCACATCCTCAAAGAGCTTACTACTTAGTAAGGAGGCACACAGGGTAAACAAGTAATTACCAAAAAATGGCAGCAACAGTTTTTGTAAGGGAAGGAGTTCTCAAAGAACTGAATCTTGTGAGAACTACAAGCAGTTTGATTGTCGGAATTGCCAAACCAAGAGTGTTTATTTATTTATGTATTTATTTATTTTTGAGATAGGGTTTCACTGTCTCCTAGGCTGGAGTGTGATGGTGCGATCTCAGCTCACTGTAACCTCTGCCTCCCAAGCTCAAGCAATCCTCCTGCCTCGGTCTCCTGAGTAGCTTGGGCTCCAGGCACACGCCACCATATCTGGCTAATTTTTTTTTTTTTTTTTGTAGAGATGGGATTTCGCCATGTTGTCCAGGCTGATCTTGAACTCCTGGGCTTAAGATATCCACCGTCATCAGCTTCTCAATGTGCGGGAATTACAGGCGTGAGCCACCATGCCTGGCCTGAGTGTTCATTGACGATGAGAGATGGTGGAGTTTTTTGCATCAAATCACAAAAATATACTGTGAGTTTCTTCAAAACAGAGGCTATATCTTACTTATTTTTATTATTTTTATATCTCCAAAATCTAGCAGAAAGAAGGAAAGATATTTGTGTGCCCAGTGAGTTCCCGTAGTGGGAATAGTGAGCTTTAATTAATCTGAGCCCTAGAGAGGAGACTCAGGACTCATTTTTCATTCTTCTGTCTTTGAAGCCTTAGCCCCATATTGGCTGTGGCCTGTGAGGAGTGCTTGATGTTTGAATGGCATTCACTAAGAGTTTGTTACTGCTATTGCTACAATCTACCCCACTTTGAATCCTTTATGACTGTGAGCCCTTTGGAGCACAATTTTTATGGTCATTCATTCAACAGACATTTGCAAATCAGGAGCTATATTCTCCCTTTTACATTGGGTACACAGAAATGAATCAGACATGAAACCTGTCCCCCAAGAGCTTACAATTTGTCAAGGGACAAAGAAGACATATCCTATATAATTGTAATATGAGGCACTCTGTTAAAGGCTAAGTGAGGATTGACAGGATGGAGCTGTCACCTTAAGGTGTTTCAGCAGAGGAGAGGTGACATTTGAGCACCAAAGATGCATTAGATTTGGTAAATGGGAAAGAGAAAGAACATTCCAATCATAGGCAATGGCATGAGCAAAATCTTGGAGAAAAGAGAAAAAAACTTTTGGTGGGGAGGGTAAGCAAAAAGACCATTATGGCCAGGAGTATATCAAGAGTCATGGACTCATATTTTCAGGAGCCAGATGGGTAATAAACATGAATAAAATAGACAGGGTCAAATATTTGAAGATATTCCACCTAAAGACATTCAGACAACTTTAAAACTCCTCTCAGCAAGGAATTGTTGAAGCAAGGTGATGGATGCATGAGTTCATTATACTAATATGTGTGTTTTTGCATATATTTAAAAATTTACCTAAAATGTTTAGCAAAACACGAAGTACAAATACCCATGTGAACTTTTTTTTTTAGAGTTAGGGTCTCACTCTGTCACCCAGGCTGGAATACAGTGGCACCATCATGGCTCACTGCAGCCTCCAACTCCTGGGCTCAAGTGATCTTCCTGCCTCAGTCTCCTGAGTAGTTAGGAATACAGGCACATGTCACCACACCCAGCTTACCAAGGGTTTTGCATAAATCAGCAAGTCTTTGAAGATGTCTAGTAGAGGAATAACTTCATGAAAAGCTAAATGTAGGAAGATTCATTTTAGGAGAAGAAGAAAAAAAGTTGTGTCATATATTTTGTTGAACATTTGTTGCCTATCCTTACCATGTACTAGGCTCTAGTGATATAAAGGTGTATAATTTAAGGCACAATTCATGCCCTTGAGAGCTCACGTATATACAAATCCAACATTAACATCTTAATATATTATTTTGCACTTGCTGCTGTGTTGCCTTCTGGTTGCATTCGAGTTATTTTGTGTTTTTTGGAGCCTCATCAGCTGATCCAAACCTACTCCCTGCCACCACTCCCACCAGGCCCATGTTGGTCATGGACTAACTCGGCCGGGTGCAGTGGCTCACACCTGTAATCCCAACACTTAGGGAGGCCGAGGCTGGTGGATCACGAGGTCAGGAAATCGAGACCATCCTGGCTAACACAGTGAAACTCCGTCTCTACTTAAAGTATAAAAAATTAGCCGGGCGTGGTGGCATGTGCCTGTAATCCTGGCTACTTGAGAGGCTGAGGCAGGAGAATGGCATAAACCTGGGAGGCAACACTTGCAGTGAGCCAAGATCGCACCACTGCACTCCAGCCTGGGTGACAGAGTGAGACTCTGTCCCAAAAAAAAAAAATAAAGAAAGAAATGAACTGACTGCTGCAAATAACTCCTGTTATCACAGGCACGGCTAGTTTGTTTTTCTTCTGTTCTCTTTTTCAGGAGTGATATGAGGATTCTTGCTTTTCTGGAAGCTAACACATAGTCAGTGCCAAAGTAGTGACAGAAGAAATCTTGGGAGGAAGCATTTTTGCCTTGTACTTGAAACAGCTGCTGGGCCACCATGGCTCCTGTGAAGATCAGCCATGTGGTATCATTTTCTTCTCAGGTATATTAATCAGCAGGCATGATTTGTTTTCTTGATAACTGAAAGGAGTGAAAAAACAGGAGTCTTGGCTCCACTTTCAGGAAACTCCCAATCTAACAGAAGAGACATTGTGAGTTCAGAGTCTAAGAGAAGAAACAGCTCTTGCCCTCAGGTTGTTCCCACAGAAGTGCAGGAAGCGCAAAAGAAGTATTCTCAGAAGTTGAAAGTACACAAAGCAGCACCCTCAGGATTCCAGCCAGTTTGAAGGGCTCTGGCAAAGCTGTAAGACCAGAAACTGCACCAGGATCCTCAGAAGGGGAGTTCGATCATTCTATCATTGAGAACAGGGCAGGGCCCTTGAGGTAATCCCAGACTTGTGAGGATATCACCACCACCATCAAGTGTGATCTCAGCCTCCTTCCTGAAAGTTCTACAATATCCCAATTAGGGCTAGATTCTAGGCCCTGAGACCAGGCCTGATCTGATGTGGTGATTCTTAGGGACTTCCCACCCTTTCCTCTCCTGTCACTGCTCTATTTACTCCTACTCGCCCTCTTCCTCTTCTGTTATCCTGGTCTTTCTCAAGGGGTGCCATTGGCATTTGGGGCCATAAGTCTGTATTTTGTAGCAATATCTTTTGCATGATGAGATATTTAGCATCCCTGGCCCCCAGGCGTCTTAGTCATTGTGACAGTCAAAAACATCCCCACACATTTCAGGGAGATCCTTAGACCAGGCATGGGACTCATGCCTGTAATTCCAGCACTTTGGGAGCGTAAGGCAGGAGGATCTCTTGAGCCCAAGACTTCAAGACCAGCCTGAGCAACACAGGGAGATCCCATTTCCACAAAAAATTAAAAATTAGCCCTGTGTGAGAGCATGTGCCTGTGGACCCGGCTACTCAGGAAGCCATGGTGGGAGAATTACTTGAGCCCAGGAGGTTGAGGCTAACAGTGAGCCATGATTGTGCCACTGCACTCCTGCCTGGGTGACAGAGCAGGACCTTGTATCAAAAAGAAAGAAAAAGAAAAGACCCTTAGAGGATCTTTAGGAACTAATATATTAACCCCTATTCTAAGAAAAATAGTATTACACTTACCCTCCTTACCTGCATGGTCAGGCTAAACAATTTGCTTCATAGACTTTTTATTTTTTTTAGACGGAATCTCGCTCTGTTGCCCAGGCTGGACTGCAGTGGTGTGATCTTGGCTCTTCACAACCTCTGCCTCCTGAGTTCAAGTGATTCTCCTGCCTCAGTCTCCTGAGTAGCTGGGACTATAGGCACATGCCACCATGCCCAGCTAATTTTTGTGTTTTCAGTAGAGATAGGGTTTCACTATGTTGGCCAGGCTGGTCTCAAACTCCTGACCTCATGATCTTCCTGCCTTGGCCTCCCAGAGTGCTGAGATTACAGGCGTGAGCCACCACGCCGGACTGCTTCATAGACTCTTAGCCTTATAAAATGCTAGAGAACATTAGCTAGTTTCAAACTTTGTGTTTTCAGCTGTACTCTGTAGAGAGACCCACTTCTGGAAGTTGAAAGGGAGAAGGGAACAAGTATGTCCTTAGTCCTCCCTACCTGTGCTCTAACCAGAGCTCTCCTTTTATTTATCAAAAAAAAATGCACATGTGCGTGTGCACACACACACACACACACACACCAGTGTAAGATTTCAGTTAAAAGCGTTTTATTGCTAAAACAGAAAAAGTTGAAAACCATGAGTCTGGTCTCTCTCTTTCACTTATGGATGAACACATTTAGATTACAGGGCTCATACCTATAATCCCAACACTTTGGGAGGTTGAGGTGGAAGGATAGCTTGAGGCCGGGGTTGGAGACCAACCTGAGCAATGTAACAAGATCCCATCTCTACAAAAAAATTTTAAATAGCCAGTTGCGGTGGCTCACAGCTGTAATCCCAGCACTTTGGGAGGCTGAGGTGAGCAGATTGCTTGAGCCCAGGAGTTCAAGACCAGCCTGGGAAACATGGTGAAGCCCCATCTCTACAAAAAATACAAAAGTTAGTCGGGTGTAGTGGCATGCACCTGTAGCCCACCTCCTCAGGAGACTGAGGTGGGAGGTTCCTGAGCCTGGGAAGTTAAGGCTACAGTGAGCTGCGATTGTGCCACTGCACTGTACCCTGGGCAATGAGCAAGACCCTGTCTCAATTAAAAATACAAATTAACTAGGTGCAGTGGCATACACCTGTAGTCCCAGCTACTCACTTAGGAGGCAGAGGCAGGGGGATCACTCAAGTGATCTTTGCAGGGATTTGAGGCTGCAGCGAGCCATGATTGTATCACTGTACTCCACCCTGGGCAAGACCCTGTCTCTAAAAAAAAAAAAAAAAAAAGAAGAAGAAATTTGTTTGTTTGTTTGATATAGGGTCTCACTGTGTCGCCCAGGCTGGAATACAGTGGCCCAGTCTCGGCTGACTGCAACTTCCACCTCCCAGTCTCAAGCGATTCTCCTGCCTTGGCCCCCAAGTAGCTGAGATTACAGAAGGAAAGAAATTTAGACCCAGAGAGAGAAAGTAGTTTACTCAAGATCTGTCAACCAAAAAATATCTGACTTTAGGTTAGAACTCATAATTTATATCTCAATATCATTATTATTGATTTTGATTAATCACTTTATATCTAAGCATCAGTTATAAACTTAGAATAAAAATATTTGACTTTCTTATCCCACAGAATAACTATAAAGATAAATAAATGTCCTTGAAAACATCTTGGCTGGGCTCGGTGGCTCACGCCTGTAATCCCAGCACTTTGGGAGTCCGAGGTGGGCAGATCACCTGAGGTCGGGAGTTCGAGACCAGCCTGACCAACATGGAGAAACCCCATCTCTACTAAAAATACAAAATTAGCCAGGGGTGGTGGTACATGCCTGTAATCGCAGCTACTCGGGAGGCTGAAGCGGGAGAATTGCTTGAACCCGGGAGGCAGAGGTTGCAGTGAGCGGAGATCACGCCATTGCACTCCAGCCTAGGCAACAAGAGCAAAATTCCATCTCAAAAAAAAAAAAAACTTATAAATGAAATAGCGTATCATGGTGGTTAAGAGCTCTGCTTTTAGGCCGGGCGCGGTGTCTCACACCCGTAATCCCAGCACTTTCGGAGGCCTAGGCGGGCAGATCACAAGGTCAGGAGATTGAGATCATCCTGGCTAACATGTGAAACCTCATCTCTACTAAAAGTACCAAAAAAAATTAGCCAGGTGTGGTGGCGGGCGCCTGTAGTCCCAGCTACTGGGGAGACTGAGGCAGGAGAATGGCATGAACCCGGGAGGCGGAGCTTGCAGTGAGCTGAGATCACGCCGCTGCACTCCAGCCTGGGCAACAGAGTGAGACTGTCTCAAAAAAAAAAAAAAAAGCTCTGCTTTTGGCTGGGCGCGGTGGCTCACACCTATAATCCCAGCACTTTGGGAGGCCGTGGTGGGTGGATCACGAGGTCAGGAGTTCAAGAACAGCCTGGCCAAAATGGTGAAACCCCGTCTCTACTAAAAACACAAAAAATTAGCCAGTCATGGTGGTGAGCACCTGTAATCCCAGCTACTCAGGTGGCTGAGGCAGAGAATTGCTTAAATTCGGGAGGCGGAGGTTGCATTGAGCTGAGATTGTGTCACTGCACTCCAGCCTGGGTGACAGAGTGAGACTCTTGTCTCGGAAAAAAAAAAAAAAAGAGCTCTGCTTTCAGAAACCTGGGAATTCTGCTTTGCTTGGTTATTGAGCCTATGGCCTTCAGTAAGTTTCTGAACCTCTCAGCTTCAGTACTGATCTGTTAACTTGGAAGTAATAATAGTAACCACCTAAGAATTGTTGTGAAGATTAAAGGAGGTCATCTGGTAAATGAGATAGAGAAGAATGATACCTGTAAACCACTTGGCACATGATAACAGAATTCCTATGGCCTCCCATCTAGTGCCTTGTCTATCATGTTAGGATGACTGGGACGGTTTGGAGTTTTAGGGACCCCTCATTTGTGGGCATCCTTTTTCCCTTGGGCTCAGTGAGATTCCTGATTTTCTCCTCCTCTCTTACTTAGGATCCCAGGTATCCTGTAGAGAACTTGCTAAACCCAGATAATCCAAGGAGACCTTGGCTCAGCTGCCCTCAGGACAAGAGTGGGCAACTGAAAGTAGAACTACAGCTGGAGAGGGCAGTGCCCATTGGCTACATTGATGTGGGTGAGTTCTCTGTGGCCTAGGAACCTCTGAGGAAGAACACAGGAATGATAGTCCCCTCTAACTACTCCACTAGCGTGTCTCAGTTCATTCTGGCTGAGCAGCCTTTATGGAATAAGTTTTACCTGGGTGTCAAACAGAAATGTGGCCCTTGCCCTTGGAGCAGATCTGTGTGGAGAACTCCAAGGGCTCTATTCACGTAGAATACCATGTGAATGGTGCTCCTCAAATTATGCAACATAACTACCATGCTTTGATCTTAGTGGTTTGGGTAAAACCTTAGGACACTGAGGTAATTATAAATCCCGGCCAGGCACAATGGCTCATGCCTGTAATCCCAACACTTTGGGAGGCCAAGGCGGGAGGATCCCTTGAACCCAGGAGTTTGAGATCAGCCTGGGCAACATGGCAAAATGCCGTCTCTACTAAAAGTTCAAAAATTAGCCAGGTGTGATCGTGCACACCTGTAGTCCCAGTTACATGAGAAGCTGAGGTAGAAGGATCATCTGAGCCCAGGAGGTTGAGGCTGCAGTGAGCTGGGATAATGCCACTGCACTTCAGCCTGGGCAACAGTGAGACCCTGTCTCACAAAAAATAAAAATAAATCACAACAAATAGAACCTGCATACACCTGTAAATGTCAGTGTCAGGAGGATGCTGGAGAGATGAACTGTGCAAGGATAATCCAAGAAGGCTGAATAGGAGTTTATGGATTGAGAAGATTGACCTTAGAATTCTCTGGAATCTGGAACTGTCAAGTCCACTGGTCTGTTTCGTCAGGACAGAGAGATGTCAGGCTCCCTAGCAAGGAATTAAAAGAGACAGAATTTAGCGCTCTCTACCAGGGCCAGAGGACAGAGAAGCAACAAGTCTCTTTAATCAGGGGAAGGGTTCTGGCTGGAAGGAACATGGTGAATGTGTGACATTGGTATTTAGTGGACTGGAGTCTCATTCCACTCCAGTTACTGGCTCCCTGTGGGACTCCACATATCGATAAACCTTTCTGGCTTTCAACTAGCTGTGAAGTAGAGAAGTGACCTCCTTCCACCCTATTCCTTTGTCTTCAGATGTCTCATCCCTCTTAACCTTCTCTCAACCTTTTGTCCCCAGGTAACTGTGGCTGTGCATTCCTGCAAATTGATGTGGGCCGTTCTTCCTGGCCCCTGGACAGACCTTTCGTCACCCTGCTCCCTGCAACCATGCTAATGTCTCTAACTGATTCAAAGCAGGGGAAGAACCGCTCTGGGGTCCGCATGTTTAAAGATGGTAAAGAGGGCAAAAGCAGAAAAGATGGGGGTGGTCTTTATGAGAAACAGAGATGCAGTACTAAAGAGGGCTGTGAGTGCTATTAGGTGTAGACTGTGAGAGGGAGCCTGTGCAGGGGCTTAGTTATATCTGTTGGGGGCAAAGGGTGGTTAAGGAATGGTGTGCTTGTGTGTGACATCTGTGTGCTGAGGATGCATGCTAGCTGGAGAGATGGAGATTTATGAACTATTTATATTTATACATAACTTGTGGTTCGGTAGGGCCCAATATATAGCACACACACACTTGTTGATTATTTTTGTGGCCGGACGCGATGGCTCACGCCTGTAATCCCAGCACTTTGGGAGATTGGGGCGGGTGGATCATCTGAGGTCAGGAGTTCGAGACCAGCCTGGCCAACATGGTGAAATCCCATCTCTACTAAAAATACAAAAATTAGCCGGGCATGGTGGTAAGCGCCTGTAATCCCAGCTATTGAGGAGGCTGAGGCAGAAGAATTGCTTGAACCTGGGAGGCAAAGGTTGCAGTGAGCCGAGATTGTGCCATTGCACTCCAGCCTGGGCGAAAAGAATGAAACTCTGTCTCAAAAAATAATAACAATAATAAGTTTTTGTGCGTATAAATGTGGATGTAGGATAGATGTTTTTTGTTTTGTTTTGTTTTGTTTTGTTTTTTTGAGACGGAGTCTCGCTGTGTCACCCAGGCTGGAGTGCAGTGGCGTGATCTCGGCTCACTGCAAGCTCCGCCTTCCGGGTTCACGCCATTCTCCTGCCTCAGCCTCCCAAGTAGCTGGGACTACAGGCGCCCACCACCACACCTGGCTTTTTTTTTGTATTTTTAGTAGAGACGGGGTTTCACCCTGTTAGCCAGGATGGTCTCGATCTCCTGACCTTGTGATCCGCCCGCCTCGGCCTCCCAGAGTGCTGGGATTACAGGTGTGAGCCACCACGCCCGGCAGATAGATGTTTATGTAAGTGATGGAAGGCTACATAGTGGTTATAGTTATATAGTATATAATGTTTACTGAATTCTGTTTATACAAATCTCTGTTCACTAGGCACTACAGAAAAAACATAAGATCTGATTCCTATCCTCTAGGAATGTACAGTCTCATAAGGATTTGTCTGTTTTTAAGTTGGAAGTATTTGTAATGTTGTAAAGGAAGAGTGACATTGGAGGGGCATATGATTTGGAGGAAGTGAAGTACTGACTGGACAGTGTTAGGAACTAAAGATGTGGAGGGTTTGTGATATCGGAATGTGATACTGTGAGCATGTAGAGCACGTGGTGGTGGTGTGAGGGAGGTTGAAGTCTTATGATCCAGGAAGGGTTGATATATATCTCAGGTAATCCACTGGGCCCTTACTCTGCAGGTAACTTCTTAAAATGAGATATTGATGAGGTCCCTGGAGAAGGAATAGAATTCATGCTGAGAATGGTGTGGAACTGTGACAGAGGAATGATGACGAGAAGGCGAGGGACTGGATATGAGAATGCCCTGACTGGCCTGCTTGGCATTACCACACCCTGAGCACCTGAGCCTAAGGGGACATTTACTGATGACCTCCTTCTTCCTTTTGTTGGAGGTTACTCTCTATAGCTCCTTTCCTTAGTATTGACCTTTTCGTCCTCTTTTTCTCCCATTTATGCATTTCCATTCCCCACTTATTTTCTTTCTCTTTTTCCCTTGAGTTGATTTCCTGGCTCCAGCCTCAGGAGAGTTATGGGATCGACTTCGCCTGACCTGCTCCCAACCCTTCACGCGTCATCAGTCCTTTGGCCTGGCCTTTCTACGGGTGCGTTCTTCTCTGGACTCCTTAGATGACTCTGTGTTGGGTCCCTCAGCCCTTGTGAGCTCTGTGCTGAACAAGGTATGTATGATGGTGGAGTGAGGATTTAATGTTTGCCCTTCCTTTGCAGGTTTCTGGTTAAGAAGCTGGTGCTTGTTTGAGGCATAGACACACCCACACATACACACACACACACAAATACAAGTATCAGTGGGCTTGATACCCTTTCTTACAGGTAAGAGTGAACTCCTCTCTCTCACACGAGGAATAAGGAAATGAGTGAGCCTTGGATACAGTATACACAAAACTTTTGGACCATTTGCTCTTTAGCCATAAATAAATTATTCTTGGATCCAAACTTAACTTCGTACTTTATTTCTAAGTTATTGGGTGACTGTAGCTTTTATCAGACTTTTCCTTTGAGCACTGTAAGTCTCAAAGCTCCCGTGTAGTTTCTCTGTCATTATTCCCTTAAACAAAGTTATATCTTTACATGTGTGTTCTGCAGTTTCATTTGTTCCCCTGCTTTTCTCTCTGTACAACACAATATAGGCATACCTTGAAGATGTTCCAGATTTGGTTCCAGATCATGACAATAAAGCAAGTCACACACATTTTTTGGTTTTTCAGGGTATATAAGCCAACAATTATCTGAACCTTCAGCGAGTCTCACACTGTTGCCCAGGCTGGAGTGCAGTGGTGCGATCTTGGCTCACTGCAAGCTCCGCCTCCTGGGTTCGTGCTACTCTCCTACCTCAGCCTCCCGAATGGCTGGGACTACAGGTGCCTGCCACCATGCCCGGCTAATTTTTTGTATTTTTAGTAGAGACAAGGTTTCACCATGTTAACCAGGATGGTTTCGATCTCCTGACCTCGTGATCCGCCTGCCTCGGCCTCCCAAAGTGCTGGGATTATACACTTGAGCCACCGCGCCCAGCCAGCGAGTCGTAATCTTTTTGCTAGTGGAGAATCTTGCCTCAGTGTTGATAGCTGCTGACAGATCAGGGTGGTTATTGCTGAAGGTTGGGCTGGCCATGGCAATTTTGTAAAATAAGACCGTTAAGTTTGCCACATCAATCTACTCTTCCTTTCATGAAAGAGTTCTCTGTAACATGTGATGCTGTTTGATAGCATTTTAACCACAGTACAACTTCTTTCAAAATTTGAGTCAATTCTCCCGAATCCAGCCACTGCTTTATCAACTAAGTTTATGTCATAGTCTAAATCTTTTTTTATCATTTCAATAATGTTCACAGCATCTTCACCAGGAGTAGATTTCATCTCAAGAAACCACTTTGCTCATCTATAAGAAGCAACTCCTCATCTGTTCAGGTTTTATCTTGAGATTGCAGTAATTCTGTCGCATCCTCATGTTCCATTTCTATTTCTAGTTCTCTTACTATTTCTTTTTTTTTTTTTTTTTCTGAGACAAAGTCTCGCTCTGTTACCCAGGGCTGGAGTGCAATGGCATGATCTCGGCTCACTGCAACCTCTGCCTCCCGGATTCAAGCAATTCTCCCACCTCGGCCTCCAGAGTAGCTGGGATTACAGTCACACAGTACCACGCCTGGCTAATTTTTTGTATTTTAGTAAAGATGGGTTTCACCATGTTGACCAGGCTAGTCTCAAACTCCTGGCCTCAAGTGATCCACCCGCCTCAGCCACCCAAAGTTCTGGGATTACAGGCGTGAGCCACCGCGCCCGGCCTGCTTCTCATACTATTTTGTGTCGCATTTGCAGTTACTTCCTCCCTTGAAGTCTTGAAAGCCCACAAGAGGGGAATCAACTTCTTCCAAACTCATGTTAATGTTGATATTTTGACCTCCTCCCATGAATCACCAGTATTCTTAATGGCATCCAAGATGGTAAATTATTTCCAGGAGGTTTTCATTTGCTTTCCTAGATCCATTAGAGGAATCACTATCTATATGACAGCTATAGCCTTACAGAATATATTTCTTAAATAGCAATGCTTGAAAGTTGAATTACTTCTTGATCTGTGGGCTGCAAAATGGATGTTATGTTAGTAGGCATGAAAACAACATTAAGCTCCTTGTTCATCTCCATCAGAGCTCTTGGCTTAGATGCATTACCAGTGAGCAGAAATGTTTTGAAAAGGAATCTTTCATTCTGAGTACTAGATTTCAACAGTGGGTTTAAAATATTCAGGAAACCATGCTGTAAACTGATGTACTGTCATCTAGGCTTTGTTGTTCCATTTATAGAGCACAGGCAGAGTAGATTCAGCATAATTCTTAAGGGCCCTAGGATTTTTAGAATGGTAAATGAGCATTGGCTTCAACTTAAAGTCACCAGCTGCATTAGCCCTAAAGAGAGAGTTAGCTTGTCCTTTGAAGGCAGGCATTGACTTCTCTTCTCTGGCTATGAAAGTCCTAGGCGGCATCTTTTTTTTTTTTTTTCTTTTCTTTTGAGACTGAGTCTTGCTCTGTGGCCCAGGCTGGAGTGCAGTGGCGCAATCTCGGCTCACCACAACCTCCACCTCCCAGATTCAAGCAATTCTTCTGCCTCAGCCTCCCGAGTAGCTGGGACTATAGGCGCACACCACCACACCTGGCTAATTTTTGTATTAGTAGTAGAGATGGAGTTTCACCATATTGGCCAGGCTGGTCTCGAACTCCTGACCTTGTAATCCACCCGCCTCAGACTTCCAAAGTGCTGGGATTACAGGCATGAGCCACCACGCCTGCCCGGCATCTTCTTTCAATAGAAGGCAGTTTCATCTACATTGAAAATCTGTTGTTTAGTGTAGCCACCTTCATCAGTGATCTTAGCTAGATCTTCTGGGTAACTTGCTATAGCTTGTCCATCAGCACTTGCTGCTTCGTCTTGCATTTTAATGTTAAGGAGATGGATTTTTCTTCCTTAAACTTCATGAACCAATCTCTGCTAGCTTCAGTCTTCTCTTCTGCAGCTTCTTCACCTCTCTCAGCCTTCATAGAATTGAAGAGGGTTAGGGCCCTGCTCTGGATTAGGCTTGGGATCAGTGTGTATCATGGCTGATTTGATCTATCCATACTGTTAAAACTTTATCCATGTCAGCAATAAGGCTGTTTTGCTTTCTTATCATACATGTTTTCACTAGAGTAGCACTTTTAATTTTCTTCAAGAATTTTTTCAGCTGGATGTGGTGGCTCACGCCTGTAATCCTAGCACTGTGTAAGACCAAAGCAGGCAGATCCCTTGAGCTCAGGAGTTCAAGACCAGCCTGGGCAACATGGCAAAACCCTGTCTCTACATAAAATACAAAAATTGACCGGGCTCAGTGGCTCATGCCTATAATCCTAGCACTTTGGGAGGCCGAGGCAGGTGGATTGCCTGAGCTCTGGAGTTCAAGACCAGTTTGGGCAATACGGTGAAATCACGTCTCTACTAAAATACAAAAAATTAGCCGAGTGTGGCAGCGTGCACCTGTTGTCCCGGCTACTTGGGAGGCTGAGGCAGGAGAATTGCTTGAACCCGGGAGGCAGAGGTTGCAGTGAGCCAAGATCGTGCCGCTGCACTCCAGCTTGTGCAACAGAGCGAGACTCCGTCTAAAAAAAAAAAAAAAAAATTATCTGGGCATGGTGGCACATGCCTGTAGTCCCAGCTACTTGGGAAGCCAAGGTGGGAGGATCACTTGAGCCTGGGAGGCAGAGGTTGCAGTGAGGTGAGATTGCACCACTGTACTCCAGCCTGGGTGACAGTGAGACCCTGTCTCAAAAAAAAGAATTTTTTCTTTGCATTTACCACTTGGCTAACTGTTTGCCACAGGAGGCCTAGCTTTCAGCCTACCTTAGCCTTCTTTAGCCTTTGCTATTCCTTTCTTACTAAAGCAGTCATCTCATCCCTCTTATCTTTCTCTCGTGGCTGTGCTTTCCTGCAGATTGATGTGGGCCGTTCTTCCTGGCCCCTGGACAGACCTTTCATCACCCTGCTCCCTGCAACCACAAAGTGAGAGACATGCCACTCACTTCATTTGAATAGTTAGAGGCCATTTTAGGATTATTAAATGGTCTAATTTTGATGCTGTTGTATCTCAGGGAGTTGGGAAGCCTGAAGAGGGAGAGAGACAGGGGAATGACCAGTCAGTGGAGCACACATACAATGTTTATCAATTAAGTTTGCCATCTTAGGCTAGGCACAGTGTCTCATACCTGTAAGGCTGAGATGGGAGAATCATTTGAGGTCAGGTGTCTCTGAAAAAAAAAAGACCTTGTCTCTTAAAAAAAAAAAAGAAAGAAACAGGCATGGTGGCACACATCTGTAGTCCCAGCTACTTGAGACTGAGGCAGGAAGATCACCTGAGACCAGGAGTTTGAGGCTGCAGTGAGCTATGATTAGTGCAGCTGCATTCCTGCCTGGGTGACAGAGCGATACCCTGTCTCAAAACCAAAAAAAAGTTTACCATCTTACGTGAGCACAATTCGTGGCACCCCCAAAACAGTTACAATAGTAACATTAAAGATCACTGATCACAGATCACTGTAACAAATGTAGTAATAATGAGAAGATTTGAAATGTGAGAAATACCGAAATGTGAGAATTACCAAAATGTGACGCAGCAACAGGAAGTGAGCACATACTGTTAGCAAAATGGTGCCGATAGACTTGCAGCGTTGTCACAAACCTGCCTTTTTTTTTAAGCACACAGTATCTATGAAGCACAATAAAATGAAGTACGCCTGTACTCCTAAGATAAGATATATGGATTTCTAGCCCTGAGGTTATATCAATTTACTTCGATTTGCTCAACCAGGCTTCTAGTTTTTTTCTTAAGCCTATTCTGACTCCTCTTGCTTTGTTGTTATACTTGTTTATCTTTCTAAGCCAGTATCCTCCATCATATTTCATTCATAAAAAATGAGTGTTTTATCATACAAAGCTAGAGTCATGGAATTTTAGAGATCATCCAACCCCCACCATCTCATTTTCCATCTCAGATAGGAAAACTTCTATATGTTCAGAGTCCTACAGTGAGTCAGAACAGCATAAGGACTAGGTCTCCTGTCCCTACACTCTGCCTACACTACACACTCTGCCTCTTGTGCACACAAGAAACTTTCTTAGAAGTTTCAAACCTTTCACAACCAAAAGAATCCCAGTTCACATGAGCGAACTTCACAAGAGTCAATCCTTTTGAGGTTCCTGAGAAAAAGAAGAGGCAGCACTGGGAAGAGAAAATGAAGTTAGAGCAGAAAGAACAAGAGTAGATCCTTTTGTCGTGCAGTTTTAGGAGAGATCCAGGGAGCTAAGACAAAGTCAGATTTGGTCTGAGACTACTCTTCCATTGTGGAAAGGGCTAAAAAATGTAAAAGGACCGACAGTGGCAGTTCGGTGTGCCCTACCAGGTTCCACTGCTGCAGTGCTAAGAGCTGACATGAGTGGAGCTCGATCTCTGTGATCCTGCCTAGTCAATAAAATGAAGCTCCGTGAGATTAGGAACCTGTCTGTCTCGTTCTGTAATGCATTCCTGGCACCTAGAACATTGCCCAGAGCAAAGTAGCCTTTTAGTGTAAATGTTCATTATATAAGTGACCTTTTAAAGGGGAGTTGTAGATAGAGTCACCATAAAACTTATCGTCCAAACCAGGACACTTTAAGGGCAAAGGAGAATGCTATTAATAATTACACTAAGTCCAGGCACAGTGGCTCATGCCTTTAATTCTAGCACTTGCAGAGACCAAAGTGGGAGGATCATTTGAGCCCAGAAATTCAGGACCAGCTTGGGCAACATAGCGAGATGCTGTCTCCACAAAAAAAGTATTTATTTATTTTTTTATTTTTATTTTTTTATATTTTTGAGACGGAGTCTCACTCTGTCACCCAGGCTGGAGTGCAGTGGTGCGATCTTGGCTCACTGCAAGCTCCTTCTCCCAGGTTCATGCCATTCTCCTGCCTCACCCTCCCCAGCAGCTGGGACTATAGGCACATGCCACTACGCCCAGATAATTTTTTGTACTTTTAGTAGAGACGGGGTTTCACCGTGTCAGCCAAGATGGTCTCCATCCCCTGACCGTGTGATCTGCCCACTTCAGTCTCCCAAAGTACTGGGATTACAGGTGGGATTACAGGTGGGATTACAGGAGTGCAGTGGCGTGATCACTCACTACGACCTCCACCTCCTGGGTTCAAACAATCCTCCCGCCTCAACCTCCCAGTAGCTGGAACTACAAGTGCATACTACCAGGCCCAAATAATTTTTTTTTTTTTTAAAGACAAAGTCGGGGAGGGCACAGTGGCTCAAGCCTGTAATCTCAGCACTTTGGGAGGCCGAGACAGGCGGATCACGAGGTCAGGAGATCGAGACCATCCTGGCTAACTTGGTGAAACCGCGTCTCTACTAAAAATACAAAAAATTAGCCGGGTGTGGTGGCGGGCACCTGTAGTCCCAGCTACACAGGAGGCTGAGGCAGGAGAATGGCGTGAACCCGGGAGGCGGAGCTTGCAGTGAGCGGAGATTGCGCTACTACACTCCAGCCTGAGCGACAGAGCGAGACTCCGTCTCAAAAAAAAAAAAAAGACAAAATCTCGCTCTGTCGCCCGGGCTGGAGCACAGTGGCATGATCTCAGCTCACTGCAACCTTCCACCTCTATTTTTTATAGAGACCAAGGTCTCACTATGTTGCCCAGGCTGGTCTCAAACTCCTGAGCTCAAGCAGTCCTCTTGTCTCAGCCTCCCACTGTGCTGGGATTACAGGCGTGTACCACCACACCCAGCCTCTACAAAAAATTTAAAAATTAGGTGCAGTGACTCATGCCTGTAATCCCAACACTTTGGGAGGCCAAGGCGAATGGATCGCTTGAGCCCTGGAGTTTGAGACCAGACTGTGCAACATAGCAAAACCCCATCTCTACAAAAAATAACAAATAAGGCATGGTGGTGTACGCCTGTAGTCCCAGCTACTCAGGAGGCTGAAGTGGTAGGATCACTTGAGCCTGGGAGTTCAAGGCTTCAGTGAGCTGTGATTGTTCCATTGCACTCCAGCCTAGGCAACAGAGCTAGACCCTGTCTGAAGAAAAAAATAAAAATTAGCCAGGCATAGTGGCCCATGCCTGTCATCCTAGATACTTAGGAGGCTGACGTAGGAGGATCACTTGAGCCCAGGAGGTCAAGGTTGCCGTGAGCCATAATCATACCACTACATTCCAGCCTGAGTGACAGAGTGAGGCCCTGTCTCAAAACATAATAATAATAATTATCATTATTATTTTTATACGGAGACAACAGATACAAGGTAGGACTGTTCCAGGCAAACCAGTACCTATGTTCACCCCAGTTTTAGGATAAACAAAAGTTTCTCAGGGTTCTTTTCCATTTTGGCCATCTACATTACCCTGCACTTCTAGGACCATGGTGAGATGGAGGTCAAAGGGAGTCAGCAACTGCAGAGCCTTGTCAGAAGGGTATTGAACATCAGCAGCAGGGTGAAACATACATGCAGGTACTTCGTGAAACTGTAGCGAAGGAATGACCTGAAACATTTCAGCAAGAGACAGATGCTACATGTAAGCTGGGATTACAGATTGATGGCACTCAGTTTTATAATTTAGGATGCCTAAAACGTCATAGACTTTTTTCCTAATGAATCATTTTAATTGGTATGTTATAGTGAAAGCAAAACATAGGGCTTTTAACTCTGTGAAACGGGGTTATTATGATCACCAGTTTTCTCGTAAGAAAAGCACAGAGAAATTTAGTGGAGTGACCCAGGTCACACTGCCAAATAAGTCTTGAAGTGGATTTGAACCCGGGCCACTTGATTCCAACTAATCTTTGCTCAGAAGCTAATAATCAATCATTTTATAATAATTAATTTCCTGATAATCTCACTTAGAGTTAAGGTTAAAATAAACTATCTCTACACACCTATCTAGTTACCCTTTCTAGTAGCATTCACTGTAACATTCATGAGACAAGGTGAAGAAAAAATGAAAACCCTGGAAAATTAAAGAAAAAATTTCAGGATTATTGCTAGGTCCAAGAAAAGATTGTAATGGTAATTAGAAAATATTAAAGAGTTAATGAGAATGAAAATACTACTCAAGCTTGTAGAATGAAGCCAAAGCCATGCTTTACAAGAAAGACATTTACCTTTAAAATAACCTGTGATAGAAGAATCAGAGTTGAAAATTAAAGACAAAAATTTTTTTACGGTAAGGGAAAAAGGAAATTTCTATAAATAAAAAAGGAAAAAGGAATTAGGAGGCCGGGAGCAGTGGCTCACACCTGTAATCCCAGCACTTTTGGAGGCCGAGGAAGGCAGATGACTTGAGGCCAGGAGTTCAAGACCATCCTGGCCAACATGGCAAAACCCTGTTTCTACTAAAAATACAAAAATTAGCTGGCTGTGGTGGTGCACGCCTGTAATCCTAGCTACTCAGGAGGCTGAGGCACAAGAATCACTTGAACCTGAGAGGCGGAGGTTGTAGTGAGCTGAGATCATGCCACTGCACGCCATCCTAGATGGCAGAGTATGACTGTGTCTCAAAAAAGAAAAAATAATTAGGGGCCAGGTACAATGGCACGTGCCTGTAATCTCAGTGGTTTGGGAGGCCGAGGAGGGACGATCGCTTGAGCCCAAGAGTTTGAGACCAGCCTGTGCAACATAGTGAGACCTTGTCTCTACAAAGAAAAATGTTTTAATTAGCTGGGCATGGTGGTGTGAGCCTGTGGTCCCAGCTGCTCAAGAGGCTGAGGTGAGAGAATTGCTTGAGCCCCAGAGTTCAAGGCTACAGTGAGCCATGATCCTGCCACTGCATCCCAGCCTGGGTAGAGCAAGACCCAATTTTTTTTTTCTTATTTGAGACAGGGTCTCACTCTTGTCACCTTGCTGGAGTGCAGTGGTGCAGTCACAGCTCACTGCAGCCTTGGCTTCTGAAGCCCAAGAAGTCCTCCCACCTCAGCACCTCAGCCTCCCAAGTAGCTAGGACCACAGACATGTACCACCATGCCTGGCTAATTTTTTTATTTTTTTATAGACAGGGTCTTACTATGTTGCTCAGGCTGGTCTGAAACTCCTGGGCTCTAGCAGTCCTCCCACCTTGGCCTCCTAAAGTGCTGAGATTGCAGCCACGAATCACTGTACCGAGGCTGAGATCCCATCTCTTTTTTAAAAAGTAGGGGTATAATCACAGATAAATTGAATTTTGACAAAGAATTAAGAAACCAGCATACTACGATATAAATAAAATCTCTATGCAGAAATTATTTGGGAGATTATTGCACATAGACATTTCTGGAGCAAGGAGGTTATAAAATGCCTGTGATAGGTATGGTGGCTAATGCTAGAGACACATCTATATGCATACATACACACACATCTCTTTATAGATGGCTAGAAATTGTGGCTTAAAATTGGTAGGTTTTTAGTTGCAAGTTAACAAAATTGTTCACAAAATAAATCATACTAAAAACTAAACAATATTATTTGATAATATTTAGAAGGAAATAATGAAATAAACGTCCCCAAAAAGTTCAGTCATTTGAGTAGTTTGACAGTTTGAGTAGGCCCTGGCACTAGGTAGCAGTGTCCCCTGGTGGTGAATCTTGGTATTTCATATCTCTCAATTTTTTTTCCTCAGGGTTCTGATGCTCAGGAGTCTGGTCCTAGCCCCTGGCTAGCTAATCCTTCCATCCGGAGGACATTCTTCCCACATCCCCATACGTATGTACTTGACAGAGTGGAAGTCTCCCAGCCACCTCTCAGGTCTTTCTCCTGGAAAAGAAATGCTATCAAGTCACTGACAAGCACACAAGACCAGCCTGGGTTCACCAAATTAATCACATACTCTAGGCCTAACCCTATCTGTATATTAAACTAGCTTTCTTGCTTAAATGCCATTGACATGAGTGAGCAGAATAAGACCTATATTTCAAGTGGAACCACGTACTCTCTTTCCCTGCAGGGATACCAAGGAAATTTCAGAGCTCAGGAATATCCTAACACAGATGCAGCCAGGGACTCTGGGGCGTTCAGCCCACATGGTGCTTTCTGCTGCCCGCAGGGTGCCTCCAGTCAGTGTGGCAAGCCCAAAGAACAACCATGCAGAATCAGGTTCCAGTCCTCCAGACAGGGCAGGTGAGTCCACATGACCTGTTCCTTCCTGTCCCTAGCAATGCCCTTCCTCCCTGAATCTACCATTGCTATACAGGGATGGCGCACTAGTGGAACTTCATGTGATAGGAAAGATAATTGTTGGTGTCTTGTTACCAGAAGACAAATCAAATATTGTATAGTAATTGAAAGAGCACTGGCCTAGGAATCAGCAATCCTTATCTCTTTGGGCCTCAGCTGTCTACCACAGAAGGAAAGATGTAGTTTATTATTTTAAGACAAAGAGACTAGAAGGGAACTCATAATTTTTAGGCACCTACTATAGGCTGGGCCCTGGAGCTATGAAAGCACTTTAAAATATATTAAATGCTATACAAAGTGTTTCATAAATTCAGGATAACCAGACGAATGGAAGTTGATAGTTTTTATTGTCACTCATTTGACAGATATTTATTAAGCATCGTTTGTGCCAGGCTCTGTGCTAGACATCAGGGATACCGCAGTAAATAAAATAGCAATGCTCCTTCCCTAGTGGAGAAACACATGTCAGTGTCACACAAATAAATTTAAATCTTCAAACTGTGATGAGTACTGTCAAGGAAAAGCATAATTGGATGACTGGATGTAGATTAGAGAATCCAGGGAAAGTGCCACATAGGAATTAGCATTTCATCTAAGACTTGGAAGAGTGAGAAAGGCACACTCTTTGCCTCCAGGCAAAGAGGGTAGAAAGAATATTCTTAGAAGAAGTAACATCACATGTGAAGACTGTTTAAGAGCTATATTTAATGAGCATTTCTAATACAGAGCCCAGAGCAGAGGAGCAAAACTCTGAGAATGATGTGGGCAGAATGAAAAGAAGGAAAGTGCAGCACCAAAGGTAAGTAGATCAACATGAAAGACCCAAATCACCTCCCCAAACCTTATTGCCCTTTTGCAGCTGTCCTTACCCCCAGTCTTGTTTCATTAAGGTCAGAGAGTATCCTTGTGTCTGGGTTTAACCTGTGGGTCTAGACCTAAGGGCATTGAAGAAAAGATATCCTTGTCCACATGTTGTCAGGTTTGGAACTAGGCAAAGAGGCAGTCCTGTAGTGAACCAGAATCTGAAGATGAGCATGCTGTATTTCATGGGCTTCATCAAAATCTAAATCTTTGGCTGGGCACAGTGGCTCACGCCTGTAATCCCAATACTTTGGGAGGCCAAGGTGGGTGGATCACCTGAGGTCAGGAGTTCAAGACCAGCCTGGCCAACACGGCGAAACCCTGTTTCTACTAAAAATACAAAAATTAGTCGAGTGTGGTGGTACGTTCCTATAATCCCAGCTACTCAGGAGGCTGAGGCAGGAGAATCGCTTGAACCCAGGAGGCGGAGGTTGCAGTGAGCTGAGATCACACCATTGCACTCCAGCCTGGGCAACAAGAGTGAAACTATCTCAAAAAAAAAAAAAAAATCTGAATCTTTTCTGCTTCAAAGGACACTGTCAAGAAAGTAAAAGACAACCCATAGAATATGGAGGAAAGTATTTGCATATCATATATTCAGTAAGGCTCTTTTTTTTTTTTTTTTTGAGACGGAGTCTCGCTCTGTTGCCCAGGCTGGAGTGCAGTGGCCAGATCTCAGCTCACTGCAAGCTCCGCCTCCCGGGTTTACGCCATTCTCCTGCCTCAGCCTCCCAAGTAGCTGGGACTACAAGCGAACGCCACCTCGCCCGGCTAGTTTTTTTTTTTTTTTTTTTTTTTAGTAGAGATGGGGTTTCACCGGGTTAGCCAGGATGGTCTCGATCTCCTGACCTTGTGATCCGCCCGTCTCGGCCTCCCAAAGTGCTGGGATTACAGGCTTGAGCCACCGCGCCTGGCCCAGTAAGGCTCTTTTATCTAAAATATATAAAGAACCTTTACAAGTCAACAGTAGAAAGATACCCTAATTTTTAGAATGGACAAATAATCTGAATAGAATTTTCTCCAAAGAAGATATATAAATGGCTATTAAGCACATAGAAGATGCTCAACATCATTAGCCATCAGAGAAATGCCAATCAAAACCCTACAATGATTATTTCACACCTGCTAGGACGATGTAATAAAAAAGATGGAGAATAACAAGTGTTGGCAAAGATATGGAGAAATTGAAACTCTCATACATATTGCCAGTGGGAATGTAAATTAGTGCAGCTGATTGGAAAACAGTTTAGCAGTTTTTCAAAATGTTTATATGGAGTTACCATATGACCTAGCAGTTCAGCTCCTAAGTGTATACTTCCAAAGAATTGATAACAGGTGTTCACACAGAAACTTACAGGCAAATGTTCAGAGCAACATTATTAATAATAGCCCAGAAATTGAAACAACCCAAGTGTCTATCAGCTGATAAATAAAATGTGGTATATCTATGCTGTGGAATATTACTCTGCCATAAAAAAGGAATATAGTACTGATACCTGCTCCAACATGGATGAACCTTGAAACCATACTAAGTGTAAGAAGTCAGTCACAAAAAACCATATAGTATATGATTTCATGTCCAGAATAGGCAATTCCAAACCACTAAAGTAGATTAGCAGTTGCCAGAGTCTGGTTCAGGCTTTCTTTTCTTTTCTTTCTTTTTTTTTTTTTTTTTTTTTGAGACAAAGTATTGTTCTGGCACCCAGGCTGGAGTGCAGTGGCACAATCTCGGCTCACTGCAACCTCCACCTTCTAGTTCAAGCCATTCTCCTGCCTCAGCCACCCAAGTAGCAGGGACTACAGGTGTACACCACCACACCCAGGTATTTTTTGTGTTTTCAGTAGAGATGGGGTTTTGCCATGTTGGCCAGGGTGGTCTTGAACTCCTGACCTCAGGTGATCCATCTGCCTCGGCCTCCCAAAATTCTGGGATTACAGGCATGAGCCACTGCGCCCAGCCTGGGTTCTGGGTTTCTTTTGGGAGTAGTGAAAATGTTCTGGAATTACATGGTTGTGGTTACAGAACTCTGTCAATACAGGGTTTTGAATTGAATTTATATATATATAAACAATTGAAAATTGACGGAGTTGTGCTTTCTCACTCAATCTGGAGTGCAGTGGCGTGATCTCAGCTCACTGCAACCTCAGCCTCCCAGGTTCAAGCTGTTCTCCTGCCGCAGCCTCCCAAGCTGGGTCTACAGGTGCACGTCACCACACCCAGCTAATTTTTCTTTTTTGTTTGTTTGTTTGAGATGGAGTTTTGCTCTTGTTGCCCAGACTGGAGTGCAATGGGGCAATCTCAGCTCACCACAACCTCTGTCTCCCAGGTTCAAGCGATTCTCCTGCCTCAGCCTCTTGAGTGGCTGTGATTACAGGCGCCCGCCACCACTCCCAGCTAATTTTTGTATTTTTATTAGAGACAGGGTTTCTCCGTCTTGGTCAGACTGGTCTCAAACTCCCAACCTCAGGTGATCCCCCCACCTCGGCCTCCCAGAGTGGTGGGATTACAGGCGTAAGCCACTGCGTCCGGCCTAATTTTTGTATTTTTAGTAGAGACAGGCAAATGTTGGCCAGGCTGGTCTCAAACTCCTGACCTCAGGTTATCCGCCTGCCTTGGCCTCCCAGAGTGCTGGGATTACAGGTGTGAGCCACCACACCTGGCCTTGAATTTATATATATATGTATATATATATATTTTTTTTTTTTTTTTTTTTTGAGACGGAGTCTCGCTCTGTCACCCAGGCTGGAGTGCAGTGGCCGGATCTCAGCTCACTGCAAGCTCCGCCTCCCGGGTTCACGCCATTCTCCTGCCTCAGCCTCCCGAGTAGCTGGGACTACAGGCGCCTGCCACCTCGCCCGGCTAAGTTTTTGTATTTTTAGTAGAGACGGGGTTTCACTGTGTTAGCCAGGATGGTCTCGATCTCCTGACCTCGTGATCCGCCCGTCTCGGCCTCCCAAAGTGCTGGGATTACAGGCTTGAGCCACCGCGCCCGGCCGAATTTATATTTTTAAAGAGTGAGTTTTACGGTATGTGTACTATATTTCAATTAAAAAATAATAACGCAAGGGCGATAATGGAATCTCTGTTCTCAGATGTTCAAAGGTTAAATGTCTTCCCTCAAGTCTGGTACATCAGGTGGGAAAACCAGGACCCCAACCCAGGGTTTCTAGGTCTACATTAACTCTTCTGCATTATTTTTGCTCTGATTCCAGGCTCCTTCAGCCCTTATGGCCTCTTACTAATAGCTGGTCTTTAACTGTTCTTTCTCGCAGGCCTGTATCCAACTCTAATTCTCGGCCAAACAGGAGGGAGACAGCAAGAGCAAGGCAAAAAAAACAGCACCGACCCCAGGCCCAAAGCAGTGGTGACCAGGATAGTGGACTGTGCCCGATTTGTGCAGGTAAGATACTTGTGCACAGGGAGTTGTTGTATGACAACTAGGCATTCCTTGAGGGAGGAATGGGAGATCTGAGAGTACTGCCAAGAAACATTTGAATTTGGAGTGCTGGCTTCTGTCATCTCTGCAGCTCTCAGGTGTGGAACTGTATTTTTAGTCAAGTGTAATTCAAGACAAGTGTGTACTGAGCACCTGTTCACACTGTGCCGGCTAAGCTGAGGAAGGGACATGGGCCCTGCCCTCTGGCGAAGCATGAAACCAAACAATGTAAAACACAATCGGAGAGGGCCTAGAACTTCCTTCGTAACTTTTTCCTATATGTCCAAATGCTGGTTGCTGTTTCAGTCTCTGTTCAAATGGTTCTTCTTGGCCAAGTGTTCTCTTATCTGCCCAGATCATCTTTCCCAACTAAGCTTCTGCAGGATTCTCTGATTCCCTTGGACTTAGCACTTCTCACTGTCTGCTGTGTATCAATGTTATTTGTCTTCATAGCTTATCCAGACTTCTTGGGGTGACATCCTGCCTGGGAGCAGGCCATTTTGTTTACCTCCTTCTCTCCCCAAATAGGCTCCTTCAGGATTGAGATTCTTCCCCAGCATGCTGCCACTTGTGGAGAGACCTCCCCACCTCACCCAGCTTCTCCCTCCTCATCATCTTCGTCCCAGTCTGTACTGTGGGTGTCCTCCCCAGAAAGTTCACCCCCTGTCTCCTGGGTTCAGTGCCCTATCTGCCAGTTGCAGTTCTCAGCAAGAGAAATAGAAGAGCATGCCAGTATATGTGGGGACTTCCCTCAGGCATGAGCCATGAGGTCCTGTGGTTTTGCCCCACCCTCTAAGACTGAGATGGGGACTGAATAGCTTGAGAGCTGAGAAGGGCTGATGAGGCCGAAGCTCCCTCTCTCCTCCCCTCCACTCATTCCCTCAGGACTCTGCCTAAGGGCACCTCTGTGCCTAGCCTGATCCTCATTCCCAGTTGTCAAGGCTTCTGTGACCATGGCATCTGATTCTCCTAAGGCCAGCTCTGTTCTTTTCCCCCTTGGAAGTCTCCTTGGAACTTTTGGGCCTTGGGACACCATCCAGAATGTCTTTCCCTCTGTGAGTGGTGCACATTCTCATGCCCATTTTCCTGAAAGGAAAACCGAGGCCTAGTGAAGAGCAAATGCTGCCTGACAGATAAAATCCTGTGGTGTGCTGGGAATGTGCATATGGGTTTTGAGCACGAGGCTGACATCCAGCATCTCATGAACTGAGCTCTCAGTCTCCTTTGTGGGTCCTGTCCTGGGTATAATCAGGTAATGGTGATGCTATGTGACACTAAGCAAGTTATTTATTTTAGCATCCAGAATTAACAGAGAAAAAAATCTCCCAACCTCCCGCTCACAGAACTGTGATAGGGACCAGATTGGTTAATGAGTAAGGAGCAGTTCTAGGCTTGGCTGTAGAACCTTGGGCAGATCCCATTCCTCATCTACACAAGGAGGTGGTTGGACCAGAGGATGTCAAAGGTTCCCTCAAGCTGTGATATTCCAAATTCTGTTCCCACCTCCTTGAGCAAATATGTCTTCTCTCCCCTTTCCCAGAAGATTTCACTCTGTGGTACTAACACCGGTTCCCCTGGTCCCCAGGGTATAGAGCAGAGGGGGAGCAGCTGGTCCTGCAAAGAGAGGGCCCAGGGCAGGATTTTGAATAGATAGGAAAGAGGATGCTAGGCACAGTCAAGGAAAAGACTGAGCAGGAGTTCAGTCCTTCGGTCCCTGCCAGCACAGGTGCCTGCATAAGTAGGTACAACCATAGACCCCATCACCGTAAGAAGCCTGCTCCCCTACCTTCTCCTATTCTGCTCCCGTTTCTACCCATGAATAAAACAAAAGATTGGCCCAGAGGCACTGCAGGGGCATCCTAGCTGCCAAGCAGGTGGCAGACATCACTATGTAGGTGGGAGAAGAGCCCCTGGAACCCTGATCTTGGACCCAGAAGAGAAGAGCAGTGAGGATGGGGCCAGGCCTAGTAGAAGAGAGGGACGAGGCAGTGCCAAGGGGGAGAAAGGTCCCCCAAAGCAGGGGAGGGCAAAGCGGGAGGATTGGTGAAGAAAGAGGATATTGGGATTCTGCTGGGGTCCTGGTCAGAACTGAGGGGCTTGACAAAAACCCAGTTCAAAACTCACACAAAACCCTCCTGTGTGGACATGTCCGGGCCTGCCCTTGGGAGAGGCTCTGGGACTTTGAGAGGAAGGAGCATCTGGGAGATGAAGTCAGCAAGAGGGGAGCTGGGTCTGAATAGATCCTGTGCACCTGTATGTGGGGTTAGGCTGCCAGGGCAGCCCACCCCTGCTTTAACCTACCCTTGCTCAAGGTACCCACAGGTAGCCCTGCTGTTGGGGGGCTCCTGTGAGGGTGGAAGTCAAGCTGGGGAAGGGGCCCCCAGTCAAACTCAGCTGAGGAAGGGGCCCCCATTCTCTCCCCAGTGGGGGAAGAAAAGAAAGCCCCCACTGTACAGTCTTGATTTTCCTAACCTGAGAATCTACACAATAAAATGATGAATAAGACAATATTTGCCAGTGTGTATTTGGGACAAGGAAGAATATAATGGTGGCTGGATATAGAGGGTTAAGTGCTAGAACATGGAAGGGTGAAAGAGGCCCCATCACAAAGGGGGTTGAAACTCAGGGTCCTAGCCTCTCCACTCCTTCATCCACCAACAGCCTAACTGGACTGAGATCATGAACAGGAAGCTCAGGTTCCCACCTCCACTCCTGGCTGCCAACCAGGAGGGCCAACTGGGCCTTGTGCAGCAGCTGCTGGAGTCAGAGGTTAAGGCCACAAGCAGTGGGCCAGGTGGGCCCCTGCACAATGTGGAAGAGGCCAAGGAGCACTCCTGGAGGGAAGCACTCAACTTGGCCATCCACCTGGGCCATGAGGCCATCATTGATGTGCTGTTGGCCAGTGTCAAGTTTGACTTCCGCCAGATCCATGAGGCCCTGCTAGTGGCAGTGGACACAAAGCAACCAGCAGTGGTGCATCGCCTGCTGGCCCACCTGGAACGGGAGAAGGGTCGCAAAGTAGACACCAGGTCTTTCTCACTGGCTTTCTTTGACTCATTAATTGATGGCTCCCGCTTTGCACCTGGTGTGACTCCTCTCACCCTGGCCTGCCAGAAGGACCTGTACGAGATAGCACAGCTGCTCATGGACCAGGGCCACACCATTGCCTGGCCCCACCTGGTCTCCTGTGCCTGCCTCAAGTGCAGCAACGCCCGCCGCTATGACCTGTTTAAATTCTCTCTGTCCTGCATCAACACCTACCGTGGCATTGCCAGCAAGGCCCACCTCTCACTGGCCAGTGAGGATGCCACACTGGCTGCCTTCAGGCTTAGCCGTGAGCTCAGGCACCTTGCACGCAAGGAGCATGGTTGGGCCTGTGGTGGGTGTTCTGGGAAGTTTGGAAGTCACAAAAAGAGGACGAGGCCTGGCCTCTGTTCTCAGGAAACCTCTAGTTTGATGGGGAGTCAAGAATCCCCCCAAGAGAATTTCATTCTAATGGCAGAGAACAGCCACTCCAGAGGGGCCTAGTCTTATGGGGGAGGCACAACCCCACTCCAGGGGAGCCCTGGGTCTGTCTGAGGGAGAAGAGAGAACAGAAACAACTAGAAAAACAGCTGGACAGACTTGGAGATGATGTTCAGTAGAATACATCACATCTGAATACCTGCTAGGTGTTCCCACCCGGAGCATGGTGTGTTGCGGCTCTCAAGCGTATGATCACAGCAGGGAAAAGTCAGAGAGAGGGGACAAGGTGCTCCCAGTATGCTTGTCTTCATTCAGTGCCGCTGTGAATGGTGCTAACAGGGCTTCCAAAGCCCAGAAAACAGGTCAGGAAAGCCACAGCTGTTGTGTTCAGGGAGGACTCCTTGGAATAAGTAGCATTAAGCTGAGCTACGGAAGTGGGTGGTTACATACAAGTGAAGAGGAGCAGGGAGGGTATTTGAGATAGGGCTGCAGTCCACGCAACGGCTCTCAGGTAGTGAAAGTATACATGGTGATGAGTGAAGGGGAGACACTGCAGGAAGGACTGAGAATGCATGAAGAGGAGCCTGGAGGCAGGGACTAGTAAGGGTCCTGGAATGCCGCCAGTCCAGTATGTCCATCCCTCATCCCCTGACGGATCCTGTGTGTCAAGCTAGACTCGATCCCCATCCCCATCCCCAAGATGACCATTAGGTGGGGAAACCAACACGAATGTTAAAATACAGGGCTAAGGAGGTTGTGACCCGGGGTGGTGGAAGGATAGGAGAATGAAAAGCCCCCACTGCACAGCTAGCAGGAAAGGGCAGTCCTTTCCAAAGGACTTTCCCTCCATTCTCATAGCAGCCTAAGAGACAGTCATAGCAGGAAGTATCATCCCCACTTTATAGCAGAGAAGCTGAGGCCTGGGAAGGGGAAGTACCTTGCCCAATGTGATACCACCTGAGGACAGTGCTGGGATTCAGACCTCACCTCCTGAAAGCCATCCCTGGATGCTCTCTAGGGTAAGAGCCTCAAGTAAAACCCAGGAGACAATGGATAAATTGGAGCCAAGGACTGCCTTAGGCCAGGCACGGTGACTCATGCCTCTAACCCCAGCGCTTTGGGAGGCTGAGACAGGAGGATGAGGAGGCCAGGAGTTCGAGACCAGCCTGGGCAACATAGCAAGATCTCATCCCTATTTTTTTTTTTTTAATTTTTTTGGAGACAGTTTCACTCTTGTCACCCAGGCTGGAGTGCAGTGGCGCAATCTCAGCTCACTGCAACCTCCACCTCCGGGGTTCAAACGATTCTCCTGTCTCAGCCTCCCGAGTAGCTGGGATTATGTGCCTGCCACCACGCCCAGCTAATTTTTGTGTTATTAGTAGAGATGAGGTTTCACCATGTTGGCCAGGCTGGTCTTGAACTCCTGACCTCAGGTGATCTGCCCGCTTCAGCCTCCCAAAGTGCTGGGATTACAGGTGTGAGCCACCACGCCCACCTATTTTTTAAAAATAATAACTGGCCAGGCATGGTGGCTCATGCCTATAATCCCAGCACTTTGGGAGGCCAAGGCAGGTGGATCACCTGAGGTCAGGAGTTCGAGACTAGCCTGGCCAACATGGTGAAACCCCATCTCTACTAATAACACAAAAAAATCAGCTGAGTAGGCCGGGCACGGTGGCTCACTCCTGTAATCCCAGCACTTTGGGAGGCTGAGGGGGGCGGATCATGAGGTCAGAAGATGGAGACCATTCTGGCTAACATGGTGAAACCCCGTCTCTACTAAAAATACAAAAAATTAGCTGGGCGTGGTGGTGGGCGCCTGTAGTCCCAGCTACTCGGGAGGCTGAGGCAGGAGAATGGCGTGAACCCAGGAGGCAGAGCTTGCAGTGAGCCGAGATCGCACCACTGCACTCCAGCCTGGGCAATAGAGCGAGACTCCGTCTCAAAGGGGAAAAAAAAAAAATCAGCTAGCGTGGTGGCACATGCCTGTAGTCTCAACTACTCGGGAGGCTGAGGCAGGAGAATCACTTGAACCCGGGAGGCAGAGGTTGCAGTGAGCCGAGATCATGCTATTGCACTTGAGATCGTGCCATTGCACTCCAGCCTGGGTGACAAGAGTGAAACTCTGTCTCAAAAATAAGAATAATAATAATAATTAATAAATAAGAACTGCCTTATTCATTTCTGCATCTCCTAAAATTGCCAACGCGAGTTCTCTTATAAGGTAGGTGTTCCAATAAATTAAATGAGCACATGAAGGGTGTAAGGAGTAGGTGTAAAAATGGGACAAGAAACAGATTAGAAGAGGAAGGAAAAGAGACAGAAAAAATGAAAGAGGGGTTTGGGTTGAAGTGACTTAGTGATGAGGTAGCAATAGCACTAGATAAGCAAAGTGACCCTGGAGGTACCTCATTAGAGCAAGAAGGATGGGCGAGGTGGCAAAGAGGAAAGAAATCAATGCCCTAGTGACACCAGGTGTAGGAAATGATGGTGCAAGGGCAGGACAGAGGTGGCCTAGGCCCACTATTGGTGGGCGTGGCGGGTAGGGAGGAGTGGGCTGATTTAATGGGGTTGGGTCCACAGGGTGGTAGGCACACACGGACCTGCTTCCCTAAGCCTGAGTACATTGCCCTGGAGTCACCGAGCCAGGACTGTGGCTTTGAGCTGCTGGGCATGTGCCGGAACCAGAACGAGGTCACTGACCCGGCTCAACGACCCGGCCGAGGACAGCGAGACGGAGCCCAAGGCTGAGGGCCTGGGCCTAGCCTTTGAGGAAGGCATCCCCAACCTGACGAGGCTGCAACTGGCTGTCAACTACAACCAGAAGCGGGTCAGCTGGGCCATAGCTATATCCCCTCCCTGTCCTTTTCTCTTGCCCTGCCACCTCTAGGTCTCCCTGACCCAGCCCTAAGCAACTCCTTTTCCTGCCCTCAAGACCCTCTCAGGCCTTGGTCCTGAGCACCCTTCTGTCTAGACCCTTGGCCCTGTGGGTCCCCTCCCTTCTTACCTTCTATATAAGCCTGTAACCTCTCCCCAGCTCTTGAAAGACCCATTACCCACCAAGACCTCACCTCAGACCAGGACATCTGGTCTTAGACAGCTTTATCTTTGACCTGAGTTACTTGAATCCAGTCTTTCTGTTCAATTCCAGTACATCACTCTATAAAGCAAGATAAGACTAGGTCTCTCAGGCCTTAAATATCCCCCAAAAGATTCCATTATTGCCTGTCTCCTCAGACATCTTCCCCTCTAAGCTAAAGACAGACTCCTTGTTTAGCCTCCCCCAATCCCTTGCTCCTCACTCTCATCCACCCTCAACATCCACCAGGAACTTAACCAAAAACCTTCTTTCATAATGGCTCCCCTGGCCCTGTCTCCCAATACAGCAAACCCTGGTTTCCCTCTTCTGCCTTCCTCAAGACCATCTAGGCTAATGTCCCATATCTCTAAGAAGGCCAGGGACCCTGGGGGTTCTGGATCTTGGGTCCCCAGTTCTACCCACCACTGTCTAACTTAGACTCAAGAATGTAGGGTCCAGAGAGTTCAGGAAAATCTTTGAGTTCAGTTTCCCCTCCATCAACCAAAGCCTAGAGAGTGATGGGTCTGCCCATGGTCACATGACAAGCAAGTTGACTGATGTGGGGAGAAAAGAAGGATTGTTCGATCTCTGTGGCAAGGAAGGAAGGGCTGTGTACCCAACTGGCTCCCCCATCCTCCTCCTTGCCTGGTGGCCTCCCCCTCTGCTTATGCCCCATCTCTGCTTAGTTTGTAGCACACCCCATCTGCCAGCAAGTCCTGTCCTCCATCTGGTGTGGGAACCTGGCTGGCTGGCGTGGAAACATCACCATCTGGAAGCTCTTTGTTGCCTTCCTCATCTTCCTCACCATGCCCTTCCTCTGCCTTGGCTACTGGCTGGCACCAAAGTCCCGGGTACTAAGAATAAGATTAATGACAACTGTCACTTATTGAGCACTTGTTTTATGAGGCCCTGGGCTAGACACTTGGTGAATATAACTTTGTGTGAATGTTTCCATTAAGTAGCTGGAAGTGCAGCCCTGAGGAAGGCAGACATTCTGCTTCAGGGGTATAGGGTAGCAACCTGAGGCACAGGGAAGGGCAATGCTCTTTTTGTCAAAAGTACACAGGAAATAGTGGAGTCAGGATTTAAACTCAAGTGTCTCTGCCTCCAAAACCTTAATCCTATTAACAGCCCTATATTCTCCTAAAGACAGGCCCACCCCGACTACAAATTCCATGGGAGCCCTTCATCCAACCAATCTGTCCTTGAGACCCAACTGTGAGCTAAGCATGGTGCCTGACACTGGGGTTATGAAGAAAAGCCCTGTTCCTGCTGAGCAGGTGAGGAATAGGGAGAGGGATGTTCCAGGAAACAGGAGCAGTATGTGTGAAGGCCTGGGAGAGGGAGAACCCAAAGTGTTAGAGAAACTGAAAGGAGTTAGATCAAGAGTGGTGGAGAAGCACTCAGGGGCCAGATCTCACAGAGCCTTATAAGCCACAGAGGATAGCAGCCATTGTAGGATTAATGAGGCGAGTCCCCCATCAGTCTTGTGTTTCAGAAAGTGCCTTCTACTAGGGGTGTGAAAGGTGGGCTGGGGATGCAGGGCAGGAGTTAGAGAGACTGGTGTGAGAGGACAAGCACATAGAGATGTCTCATATTCCCGGCCTGGGTGACCGGGTCATTTTATGAGGTGGGGACACAGAAGAAGATGGAAGAGCAAGATAGGATAGAAGATGATGAATTTCTTTATTTTTTATTTATTTATTTATTTATTTTTGAGATAGAGTCTTGCATTGTCACCCAGGCTGAAGTGCAGTGGCAGGATCTCGGCTCACTGCATCCTCTGCCTCCCAGGTTCAAGCAATTCTGCCTCAGCCTCTCGAGTAGCTGAGATTACAGGTGCCCACCACCATGCCCAGCTAATTTTTTGTATTTTTGGTAGAGATAGGGTTTCACTATGTTGGTCAGGCTGGTCTTGAACTCCTGACCTCGTGATCCGCCCACCTCGGCCTCCCAAAGTGCTGGGATTACAGGCATAAGCCACCGCGCCCGGCCCATGAATTTATTTTTTAACATGGTTGAGTTTGAAGAGCCTGTGGGGCCTCCAAGGGAAAGTTACTTTACCTCTGTGATCTTCAGTTCTTGGGAGAAAAAAAAAAAAAAAAAAAAATCCGGGAATAATGTCTACCTCATATGGTTGGAAAGGAGATGACAGATATGAGTCTACGGCCTGATATGTAACACATTCTCAATGTATGTCTGAATAGTGCGTGACTGAATCTGAGAAAGGGGAGCCACGTGGGTGGAGCAGTCTAGAAGGGCTTGCAGGAGCGAGAGACACCCAGGACTGAGAGCCCTACTCCCATTCCTTCCCTTGGAAGCTGGGCCGCCTGCTAAAGATCCCAGTACTGAAGTTCCTGCTGCACTCCGCCTCCTGTCTGTGGTTCCTCATCTTCCTGCTGGGAGAGTCCCTGGTCGTGGAGACACAGCTGAGCACCTTCCGTGGCCGCAGCCAGAGTGTCTGGGAGACTTCACTACACATGATTTGGGTCACAGGTATAAGTGTAGGACCCTTTATTTGTGGCAGTGTCCCTTAGGGGCCCCCCTTCCTGTCCTTCACAATAAGCACCCCAACAGGGGGATCCTGCTTTGTAGATGACCCCTGAACATATAACCAGACCCCTCTGGGCTGTAACACAGTACAGGGCCCTTTCCCTCATGCCTAGTCGGGGACCTAGCCCTGTGGTAGACTCCCTGAGCAAGGACCCCTTCTTCCCCCTCCCTGGCATCAGTCACTACCTAGCCTGGAGGTTTCTGTCCTCTCACAAATAAGACCCTGGTCCACAGTGCGAGGTGGGAACATACCTTGGTGTCATGGCAGCCCCCAAGTACTGCAAGACAGGCTGTCCTGGAGGTCATGGAGCAGAAAGTCTCACACACCAAATGAAAAGACTCAAATCATACAGCGAGTTAAATCTGTAAGTGGTGTAATTATGATGGTGTTGTAATGAGGATCAGAGTTGAGGTTTGAGTGGCTGGGGTTAGGGGGGTGGTGCAATGGACAGAAGGTACCTGGAGCCAGGCATGGTGGCTCATGCCTGTAATCTCAGCTACTCAAGAGGTTGAGGTGGGAGGATTGCTTGAGGCCAGAAATTCAAGACCAGCCTGGGCAACATAGAGAGACTCTATCCCTTAAAAATAAAAGAAGATTGGCCGGGTGCAGTGGCTCACGCCTGTAATCCTAGCAGTTTGGGAGGCCGAGGCAATCGAATTGCCTGACCTCAGGAGTTCGAGACCAGCCCAGGGAACATGGTGAAACCCCGTCTGTACTAAAATACAAAAAATTAGCCAGGCATGGCAGCATGCGTCTGTAATCCCAGCTACTCAGGAGGTTGAGGCAGGAGAACTGCTTGAACCCAGGAAGCGGAGATTGCAGTGAGCCGAGATTGCTCCAACCTGGTGACAGAGCAAGACTCTGTCTCCAAACTAAATAAAATAAAATAAAATAAAATAAAATAAAATAATAGTAATAAAAGAAGATACCGGCCGGGCGCGGTGGCTCAAGCCTGTAATCCCAGCACTTTGGGAGGCCGAGGCGGGTGGATCACGAGGTCAGGAGATCGAGACCATCCTGGCTAACATGGTGAAACCCCGTCTCTACTAAAAATACAAAAAAACTAGCCGGGCGTGGTGGCGGGCGCCTGTAGTCCCAGCTACTCGGGAGGCTGAGGCAGGAGAATGGCGTGAACCTGGGAGGCGGAGCTTGCAGTGAGCCGAGATCGCGCCACTGCACTCCAGCCTGGGTGACACAGCGCGAGACTCCGTCTCAAAATAAAATAAAATAAAAGAAGATACCTTGGCCCAAGACTTGATCTATGGGAGAAACACAGTGACAGTTGTGTTTGGCCACAGCTGTAGCTTGCCAGTTATCCTGATGAGCTGCTATTACTTTTATATGCATTATCTGGGCAGAGGACATGTGGAAAGAGAACAGCTGGTGCCAGTGGGTAGCTGATTTAAGATCTCATGAATACTGAGGGCCTCATATGCTTCAAGCATATTCAGTGTATCATGAATATTTAGAGTCTGTCCATCTCTTTCTATGTATGTTCACACACACATACTCTACTAACTTTATTTGTTCAACATGTCACCAAAGTAACTAGCCTATACTTAACACATAAGTTTCATCCATTCCATTTGTTTTCTTTTCTTCTATAGCAGAACTGAGTATTCACAAACAATTTAGCAAATGCAGTTTATAAGAATCCCCAGAGCTTCAGCCAGCTTCTGGCCCGTCAGCTCAGCAGGCCAAATTGGTGGCGCCTTCCTCGGCTGTCCTCCTCTCATTTAGCTCTGGCTTGGTTAGTGAACTCCAGAGCCACCAGTATACCAAGTCCACTGCTCCACCCTGTACCAGGCCAGTCAGTGATGCCAGAAAGGAAATCTGGTGCAGAAACTTTAGGGAAAGAAACTAAGAGCAGCCCAAGAGGGAAAGTTTCTCATCCTATTTACTAAACGTGGATTGACCTGTGCTGAGTGGAGAGGAAACCAATAGAATTCCTACCCATGGGAGAAGAAAAGTCTTAGAAACATATGAAACAAACCTATTTATTCATGTAATAAATGTTTCTTGATGCCCTATCATGAGTGAAACCCTAAGAGTACATGGAAAAGTTCAACATGGCTCCATCCATCCAACACATATTCACTGAGCGTGCACCCCACCCTCACAAGGCATTCCTGCTCTACAGAACTGATTTCAGTTCCCGACCACATGATATTCACATTTGTCTAGGCCTTTGCTCATTCACTTTTTCTAGAGCACTCGCCCCTTCCTGCACTGCCCCTTCACCTGGCTGGCTCCCACTCCTCCTTCAGGTCTCAGCTTAAATGCCACTTTTGGAGAAGGTTTCCCTGGCCCCTAAATCAGGGTTAGGGTCCATTCCTAAACACCCATAACAGTCCCTCTGTCCCCCTGCTCCTTAGTCTTAGCATTTACCACACTGTATGAGACCCACTTGGGTTACCCACTGTGTTCCTCACTGACTGTAAGCCCTGGGAGGGCAGGGACTGTCTTATTCACCAGAGGTTCCCACTGGCACATGGTAGGAGCTTACTAAATGTTTGTTTAGGCCGGGCGCAGTGGCTTACACCTGTAATCCCAAGACTTGGGGAGGCCGAGGCGGGTGTATCTCCTGAGGTCAGGAGTTCGAGACCAACCTGGCCAACATGGTGAAACCCTGTCTCTACTAAAAAATACAAAAATTAGTCAAGTATGGTGGCATGTGCCTGTAATCCCAGCTACTCGGGAGACTAAGGCAGGAGAATTGCTTGAACCCAGGAGGTGGAGGTTGCAGTGAACCAAGATAGCGCCACTGCACTCCAGCCTGGGGGACAGAGAGCAAGACTCTGTCTCTCTCTCTCTCTATATATATAAAAATATATTTTTTTTTTTTTTTGACGTATTTGTTTAATTTGTTCTGGGCGCCAGGGACAGAGATGAGTGGACATAGTCCCTGCCCTTGAGGGGCTCCAAGTTCAGGGGGAGGCAGGGTAGAGACAGACCTGTGGAGCGATATCCTGCAGTGCCCCGTAATGATGGGATCACAGAGATATGAGCTGTGAGAACACAAAACCCCGAGAAATTCACTCCACCTGCTTAGGGAAGGCTACTTGGAGGAGATAACATGTGACCTAGGCCACGAAGGTGAGCTGGGCTTCCAGAGGATGTGGAAGGACATTCTAGGCAGAGGAAACAAACAGTGAGTGGAAAAGCACATGATTGTACCCAGGGAATGAGAAGGGTGCAACGTGGGCAGGGCCGCCTAGCTAATGGGGTCCAGCTCCCAAGACCCCCAGCCCCAGGTCTGGTACTGGGCCTCACTGGAACACAGGTAGCCTGAGCAACCTGAGAATTTGGAGCCCCTTCAAGTCGATACTCTGTATTTTTTTTTAACTTTTTAAAAATAGTTTAATAGAGATGGGGTTTCACCATGTTGCCCAGGCTGGTCTCAAACTCCTGGGCTCAAGCAATCCTCCTGCCTCGGCCCTCCAAAGTGCTGGGATTACAGGCGTGAGCCACCGCACCCAGCCTCAAATCAATATTCTTCAATTATTTGTCCAGTATTTACTTGGTGGAGGGCACGGAGAAACAAATTTCAGTCATTCTCTCCTAATAAACAGCCTGTCCCAGGTGATACTCACTTTCTGAGTGTCTGCTGACTGAGATCATTGGTGCAGTCACGCCAGCAGTGTCTGCATCAGCAAGGAGTCTTTTTTATGTTCACATAAGATCACTTGTTCCGGAATAGATTACATGTTTACATGTCATTGACCACCCCATAATGTTTTAGCACCCCACTGCCATTCATAGGTTCCCCCGCCTCGTAATCTAGCTCTGACATAGAAGGAGAAGTTCAGTCCGATCCTGTCCTGGGCTCCCTGCCACCCCGCTTCAGGCTTCCTGTGGTTTGAGTGCAAGGAAGTGTGGATTGAGGGCCTGTGCAGTTACCTCCTGGACTGGTGAAACTTCCTGGATATGATCATCCTGTCCCTGTACCTGGCTGCCTTCGCACTGCGCCTCCTCCTGGCTGGGCTTGCCCACATGCACTGCCGGGACCACGTCCCAAGCAACTGCCTGCCACTATTTCACCACGGCTGGTGAGTGTCCCTTCAACTCAGCCCTGAATCCTCCAGTTCTTCTTTCTTGGCTCTTGGCTTCCAGCCACAGCCCCCATTCCACCCCGCACAGAACGAAGCAAGTGGCACACCGAGGATCCCCAGTTCTTGGCTGAGGTGCTCTTCGCTGTCACCAGTATGCTCAGCTTCACCCACCTGGCCTACATTCTGCCGGCCCATGAGTCGCTGGGCACTCTGCAGATTTCCATCGGCAAGATGATCGATGACATGATCTGGTGCATACCGGCTCTGCTCTGAGCTCTGCTCTGAAGACTCCATTTGACTTCCTTCCAAAACTCCCCAGCTCTTGGGTAACACAGGAATCCTTGACCTGCGTTCCTCCAGAGGCATGCGCTCCAAAGACCCCTGAAAACTACAGGCAAAATTTGGAGGGTAAATGTATATTTTTCTGCAGAGAGGGTCTACAACTTACATCTAATTCTCAAACAGGCCCATGACCCCAGAAAAGATTACGAACCATAGATAGCAGAAAGAGCCCTTGGTTGGGAGTTCCAGTCCCAGTTCTGTCAGTTTCCATGACCCCTTTGTGGGCCTCAGTTTTCCCATCATTAAGGAAAAAGCGATGGCACTGGACTTAGGGGTCCCTTTGGGTCCTTTCCACTCGGCAGCTGCTCTTTGAACCCCTGACCTTATCTGGTCTTCTTGGTCCTTATCACCTAATCATGTCCAGCAAAACCTGGCCTCTCACCTAATCAGGGCCTGTAGTTAATGCCTGCCTCCCTGGGAGTCCCCAGCCTGAAGCAGGACTACAGTGAATGTCCTTGGTGGGAGAAACCTTAGCTGCATCTATTAATATTAACAACTTTAGCTCAGCTTAGCTTGGGGTAGAACCTCCCACCCCACCCAGGATTCTTCTGGCCTCCCCATGGCAGGCCAACTCATTCTCACACGTGGCTCTGACTCTTCTGATAATAACTCCTGTTCAGTGGGATTCTGACTCCCAGCTGTCCCTGTGTCATTCCTTTAGAATCTCAGCATCTCATTCCCTCCCTGAGAGACCACTCCATCCTCAGCTTTGACTGCTTGGACTTAGTACCCTTTATTCTTTTTTTTCTTTTTTTTTTTTTTTCCTGAGACAGAGTCTTAGTCTGTCGCCCAGGCTGGAGTGCAGTGGCGCAATCTCGGCTCACTGCAAGCTCCGCCTCCCGGGTTCACGCCATTCTCCTGCCTCAACCTCCTGAGTAGCTGGGACTACAGGCGCCAGCCACCATGCCCGGCTAATTTTTTGTATTTTTAGTAGAGATGGGGTTTCACCATGTTAGCCAGGATGGTCTCGATCTCCTAACCTCATGATCCGCCAGCCTCGGCCTCTCAAAGTGCTGGGATTAAAGACGTGAGCCACTAGGCCCAGCCTCTATTGTTAATAATAACCAAATTTAGCCAGGCACAGTGGCTCACACCTGTAATCCTAGCACTTTGGGAGGCTGAGGTGGGCAGATCACTTGAGGTTAGGAGCTCGAGACAAGCCTGGCCAACATGGTGAAACCCAGTCTCTACTAAAAGTACAAAAATTAGCTGGGTGTAGTGGCACACGCCTGTAGTACCAGCTACTTGGGAGGCTGAGGCAGGAGAATCGCTTGAACCCGAGATTGAGAGGTTGCAGTGAGCCAAGATGGCACCACCGCACTACAGCCTGGGTGACAGAGCGAGACTCCATCTCAAAAATAAATAAATAAATAAATAACCTGCTGGACGCGGTGCCTCGCGCCTGTAATCCCAGCACTTTGAGAGGCCGAAGCGGGCGGATCACCTGAGGTCAGTAGTTCAAGACCAGCCTGGCCAACATGGTGAGACCTTGTCTCTACTAAAAATATAAAAAAATTAGCCGAGCATGGTGGCATACACCTGTAATCCCAGATACTCAGGAGGCTAAGGCAGGAGAATTGCTTGAGCCCGGGAGTCGGAGGTTGCAGTGAGCCGAGATCGTGCCACTGCACTCCAGCCTGGCCGACAGAGCAAGACTCTGTCTCAATAAATAAATAAATAACCGAATTGAATATTTGTTGAGCAAAGAGCCAGGGAGGACTTCATCCCTCTTCCCGGAGCCTGACTTCTCTCAAGGCAGAGACCTGCTCTGACCCTCCCCTGTCCTACCCCCTGCCAGGTTTATGTTCATTCTCATGATCATCCTGACCACCTTCCTCTGTGGCCTCAACAACATCTATATGTCCTACCAGGAGACAGAGCAGCTGGGCAAGTATGCAGGGGCAGAGGCAGGATGGGAGGTGGAGAGCCTGGGACCTTGCAGCTTGGAGTCCTAGTGATCTCTCCTTTTTCCCTCCCTCCCTCAGTTATTCACTCAACTAATTCTCTTGTTTGCTCACTCCCTCTTTGATTCTGTCACTCTTTCTTTTGTTCGTTTATACATTCATTAATTTACTCATTTTCTCCTCAAACTTTTTATTTTGAAAAATGTCAATCCTATGAAAACTACAGTGGATACCCCTAAACCTTTCACCCAGCTTCACCAATTGTTAATGTTTTACCACACCTGCTTGATCTGTTGCTCCCTTTATTCTTTTTTTTTCCTGAAACACTTAAAAGGAAATTGTAAATACAATGACACTTCATCCCTAAACAGTTCAGGATGTGTTTTAAGAACATAACCACAAAAGCATTATCATACTCAAAAAAGTTAACATCATACCATTATATATATGTATATATTTATATTTATATATATTAAATATATAAATATGTATATTTTTTGAGACAGAGTCTCACTCTGTTGCCCAGCTGGAGTGCAGTGGCTCAATCTCAGCTCACTGCAACCTCTGCCTCCCGGGTTCAAGTGATTCTCCTGCCTCACCTTCCTGAGTAGCTGGGATTACAGGCACACCACCATGCCTGGCTAATTTTTGTATTTTTAGTAGAGACGGAGTTTCACCATGTTGGCCAGGCTAGTCTTGAACTCCTGACCTTATGATCCGCACGCCTCGGCCTCCCAAAGTGCTAGGATTATAGGCATGAGCCACCGCACCCAGCTTCATGCCCTTATATTATTTACTATACAGTCCTTATTGATATTTCCCCAGTTGCCTGGAAAAAAGACTCTCTAGTTTTAAAAATCTGATATCCAATCTAGGATCATATGTTACATTTTGTTGTGATATCCCTTTGGCCTCCTTTAATCTCGAACACACCCCAACCTTCTCTTTGTCTTGCATGAAGAGTGTAGACCAAATTGGATTTATCTATTAATTATTGATCATGGCCAGGCGCGGTGGCTCAAGCCTGTAATCCCAGCACTTTGGGAGGCCGAGGCGGGCGGATCATGAGGTCAGGAGATCGAGACCATCCTGGCTAACATGGTGAAACCCCGTCTCTACTAAAAATACAAAAAAATTAGCCAGCCGTGGTGGCGGGCGCCTGTAGTCCCAGCTACTCGGGAGGCTGAGGCAGGAGAATGGCATGAACCTGGGAGGCGGAGCTTGCAGTGAGCCGAGATTGTGCCACTGCACTCCAGCCTGGGCAACAGAGCAAGACTCCCGTCTCAAAAAAAAAAAAAAATTATTGATCATAATTAGATTCAAGTTAAGCAGTTTTGGCAAGAACATGACCTAGCTGATTGTGTGTACTTTCCACTGCATCACAGCGGAAGGTGCATGATGTCAGTGTGGCCCATTGGTGAGGCCCATTGCTCTAGCGAAGTCTTCATTGTAATGGTACCAGGGAAGCCCTTTTAGTAACAGGAAGCTATGTTGAGACGGTGTGACAACACTGCTCCCTCAAAAGCTTTCACCCAGTGGATTTAGCATCCATAGATGATTTTTACCTGAACTGGCTATTATAACAGTGGTTTCAAGATCGTGATTTTCTGCCTCTGTCATTTCTTCTACATTTATTCACTGGCATTCTTCTGTAAAGAAGTGCTTTCACCTACTTTCTTTTTTTTTTTTTTTTGAGTCAGAGTCTCACTCTGTCACCCTGGCTGGAATGCAGTGGTGTGATCTTGGTTCACTGCAACCTCCACGTCCTGCCAGGTTCAAGCAATTCTCCTGCCTCAACCTCTTGAGTAGCTGGGATTACAGGCCTGTGCCGCCATGCCTGGCTAATTTTTGTATTTTTAGTGGAGACGGAGTTTCACCATGTTAGCCAGGATGGTCTTGAACTACTGCCCTCAGGTGATCCGCCCACCTTGGCCTCCCAAAGTGCTGGGATTACAGGCATAAGCCACTGCATCCAGCCTTTCCTCTTTTTTTGAATATCACTATGGACTCAATATGATAATCCATTACAGTCATTATTCTTTTGGGTGTTCGATTCTTTCTAAATGTGGCTAATAATTAATTGGTATATTTGTGTATTCACTCATTTATTGTTCATTCACTCCCTTTATTTATTTATTTATTTATTTAAGATGGGGTCTTGCTCTGTTGCCTAGGCTAGAGTGCAGCGGCGCGATCTCGGTTCATTGTAGTCTCTGCCTCCCAGTTTCAAGCAATTCTCCCACCTCAGCCTCCTGAGTAGCTGGGATTACAGGCACATCACCACACCTGGCTAATTTTTGTATTTTTAGCAGAGACGGGGTTTCACCATGTTGGCTGGGCTGGTCCCGAACTCTTGACCTCAGGTCATCCACCCTCTTCGGCTTCTCAAAGTGCTGGGATTATAGGCGTGAGCCACCGTGCCCAGCCCACTCATTCACTTTAAAAAAAATTTTTTTCTTCTTTTTAGAGACAAGGTCTTGCTCTGTCACCCAGGCTAGGGTGCAATGGTATGATCATGGCTCATTGAAGCCTCGACTTCCTAGCCTCAAGCCATCCTCCCACCTCAGCCTTCCTATTAGCTAGGACTACAGGCATGCACCACCACACTCAGCTAATTTTTTATCTTTTTGTTGAGATAGGGTCTTGCCATGTTGCCCAGGCTGTTCTCGAACTCCTGACCTTAAGCGATCCTCTGGCCTCAACCTCCCAAAATGCTGAGATGACAGCATTTCACGATGTCATTGTGAGCCACCACACCCAGTCTCACTCACTTTTAAAATTCATTCACTTTCTTAGTCATTCAGTTGTGGTAGGTTTTTTGCTGTTGCTGAGTTCATACCTATTTACTGACACTTTCTTTTAGTAGGTTCTGTTTCCTGGTACTGGAAGCACAGGCAGGAGAAATAAACCAGACCCTTTGTCATAGAGAAGATAGCCATGTGCACAAATGAGCTCGATTTGCGACAACAAATGCTGTGAGAAAGGAGAGTGTATACTGAGGGTGCCCAGCGGAGGAAGCACCTTCCTCTGTCTTAGATGACCAGGGAAGGCAGGAAGAGAGAATCTGGACTTCACCTAGAAAGGTTACAGACTTCAGAGAAGACATAGGGCATTCGGAGCAGAGGGGGGGCATGGGCCAAAGCAGGGAGGTATGTTTGGAGAATAGCAAGATGCCTCCCATGGTTGGCACATGGAGAGAATTTTGTGAAAGGAAGTGACAGAGGGTAGCTGGGCCCACATCAGAAGCTCAGGGAGGTCTTGGTGAGAGGCTTGGGCTTTCTCCAGGAGGCCAGGGAGCTCTAGGTGGCCTCCTGAGCAGCTGCCCAATCATAAATTCTTTGTGAGTGCAACTGCCTGATAGTTTTATTGATGATGCTAAAGGACCCACACTTGGTCAAGGCTCTCTCATGGTTCCAGTGTATATGGAAGCTGTATTCAGACCTATGCTCTTACAAAGAATTCTTGTCCATAGCCTGCCTTCAGGCTGTTAGCTTAAAGGAACTGAGCTTACTGTGACTCTTAGTGCCAGGGACAGGAACTACTCATACCAGCCTGCTTTGTGGCTCCTGGTGACATCACTTCACAGTGGCAAGGGAAGGCCAAGCCCTCCTGGGCTATTCATTCATGAGTGACTGCTAAGTAAGTCAAAAGTTTTTTGCTGTTGTTTTTTGAGACAGGGTCACACTGTGCCACCCAGGCCAGAGTGCAGTGGCACAGTCACAACTCACTGCAGCCTTGAACTCCTGGGCTCATGCTCTCCTTCCACCTCGGCCTCCCAAAGTGCTAGGATTATAGGCGTGAGCCACCACACCCAGCCACAAATTTAAATTGTTGGTATAAGTAATATCCATCTCACCCCCCGCACCCCAGAACATAAGGCCATGAAGACAGGAGCGTGCGGCCGGGCGCGGTGGCTCAAGCCTGTAATCCCAGCACTTTGGGAGGCCAAGACGGGCGGATCACGAGGTCAGGAGATCGAGACCATCCTGGCTAACCCGGTGAAACCCCGTCTCTACTAAAAAAATACAAAAAACTAGCCGGGCGAGGCGGCGGGCGCCTGTAGTCCCAGCTACTTGGGAGGCTGAGGCAGGAAAATGGCGTGAACCTGGGAGGCGGAGCTTGCAGTGAGCTGAGATCCGGCCACTGCACTCCCGCCTGAGCGACAGAGTGAGACTCCATCTCAAAAAAAAAAAAAAAGCTTCTCTTGTCCACTGATGTATCCTTAGCACCTGTGACACTACCGTGTGCTCAGTAAATACTGGTTGACTGAAAGAATAAGATTTGGAGCTCAGAAACAGCAAGTGTCTGTACTGGCCAAGGTGGTCCAAAGGGCTGCACAGAAGTGGGCACTCTTGGCCGCATCCTGGGGGTGGGAAGGAGTATGTGTGGGTGAGCTCAGGCTCTTCTCCCACCCCTCATTTTTTGTTCCTTACTTGGCCTGGCATGCCAGTTTCAATGAGACGTTCCAGTTTCTGTTCTGGACCATGTTCGGCATGGAAGAGCACAGCATGGTGGACGGTTTCTGGTGCCTGAGTTTGTGGGCCGGGCCCTCTATGGCATCTTTACCATCGTCGTGGTCATTGTGCTGCTCAATATGCTCATTGCTATGATCACCAACTCCTTCCAGAAGATTGAGGTGTGTAAACAGAGGCCAGTTTAGGCCAGGGAGCAGAAGGGAAAAAGGAATGGAGAGGAATAGGGTGCAAAGGGGCAAGACATGTGGCGTTGTGCTCTGCCTCCACTGTTGTCTTGCTTGTGGCTTTGGACAAGTTTTCCTCTGTAAAATGAGGGTCTTAGTGATGCTATTAGTATCTCCAGACACCAAAGTCTAGTGCTGATTCCCCTTTAGGGTTGGGCAGAGGAGTGTGTTGTAGAGAAGAAAACGGGAACATGAGAGGGAGAGGGAAGGAAACGGATGGGTTAGGGTCTGCAGGCTGGAGAATAGGCTGGGCAGGAACTGGATGTCAGAAAGATGAAAGACAATAGTGGGGAGAGAGGAAATGGGGGACAGTGGAGGTCGGAGATAAGTATGGGGAGAAGAAAGAGGCTGACTAGGATTATAGACACACTGGAGAATCAAAGATGTGAGGAGTGGGGAAAAGAAAGTCTGAGTGGGCAGGGGGGCCATGTGCTAACGAGGTCCTTGCACCACCCCCTGCTGCCTGGCTCCCGGGATGATGCTGACGTGGAGTGGAAGTTTGCTCGCTCCAAGATCTGTCTGTCCTACTTCCGAGAGGACCTGACACTGCCTGTGCCCTTCAACATCCTGCCCTCCCCAAAGGCTGTCTTCTACCTTCTCAGGTGATGACCTCAGAGCTCCCACTCCCCAAATCCCCAGCCCCTGCCCCCATTTCCCTGTCCTCTAACCAACTTCTTCCCACCATTGAAATCTCTCAGGAGGATTTGCCAGTTCATTTGCTGTTGCTGTTCCTGCTGCAAAACCAAGAAGCCAGACTATCCCCTCATCCCTACTTTTGTGAGTACCTCCTCAGCTTGTTGCTGGTCGCCCTGGTATCAGGCCTTCACCTGTATTGTCTATACCATCCACTTGTCTGCATACCCCGGGCTTATCTATCTTTCCAGGTATGTTCCCCAGAAAGCCTGTCTCAATTTCTACTCTCTCACGTGGCTTCCCTTTCCCTCTTCCTGGCTCTGGCCATTTCCTGAATTTCCAACCCTGTGTCATGCAGCCTAAACAGAAGTCCTTGCCACCCTCCTCCCAAGCTAGAAATACTCACTAAGCTCCAGACAGAACTTTTTCTCTTAAACTGGTCCGAGACATACTTGAACATTTTTTAAAAAAACATGTTAAGAAGTCAAAGAAATGTCCCACAAACAGGGCAGTTAGATGGCTGACAGTGGCCTGAGAGAGGAGGCCAAGAGGCCAGACATCCAAGGAGCTCCCCAGCCCAGTCTAGCCTGGCATGAAGGTGCCTTCCTAATTCAGGTACTGCCAGGTCTGTAGGGGGCTCTCCCCTCCTCACCATCAGCCTCCCAGCCCTCACCCACCCCTTCCTGGTCCTCTCACCGTCAGCCCTTGCCCAGCTTCTGGCCCCTGTCCTTCTACCTTCCAGGTCCACACTGTGGGGTGGAGGCCAGGGGCTAGGTGGGTCAGGGACAGAAAAGTCTACACAGACTTTGCTTGGGCCTTTTTTGCCTGGGGGTGGGGGGGCATGGGCAGTGATCAGAGGAAGGTTGGAGGTAGAGAATCTCCCCCACCCTCTTGTCTTCCCATTCCAGGCCAATCTTGGGGCAGGGGCTGTGCCTGGGAAGGAACAGCATGGATCCTACTGCCTTCACATCATCAACGCCCTGGTGCAGCGCTACATAGAGACCGCCCGGCGTAAATTCGAGGAGACCCAGCAGAAAGGTTCGTCGCCCACCTCCAAGCCCTCCCTATTCCTGTTCCTTGCTCAGCTGGGATAAAGGCCCCATTCCCAGAGTCACATCCTCATTCAGCCTGCATAATATGTGGCCCCATCCTGCCCTGCCCTTGGAAGGGCAACCTGCACAGCATGGCCCCTTGCACTCCATCACCCTCTGACCCATCCGGGCATTTATCCCACTCATTTCATGTAACTGCTCATTCCTGCCTTTAGGTGTGTTCAGTTATTCTCCCATTTACTCCCTTACCCAGTCACTCATTCACCTCTTTCATTCACTCACTTACTGACTCATTCCACCAACATTCATCACTATGGCCTCTTTCGTTCCAGGCCCTGTCTTGGAGGGAGGGATGGGGCAGGGACACATGGGAAGCTTTCAGTCTGGTGAGGAAGAGAAACCATCACACTGGGCATTAAGTGCAGCTAAGACAGACGCAAATTGCTATCAGTGCCTGAAGGGAGAAGGAGCCCGTCATTTTCAGAGGCTCATAAGAAGGCAGAAGGATAGAGTAGCAGAATGGACAAAGCGGGGAGGGATGTGAACTGGGCCCTGAAGGATGCGGTGAGCTGGCTGGCCATAGACTGGGGAGAGGGCGGGGGGGGGACGCATGAACGTCTACCCAGTAACAGCTTTCCCCATGGCTTGTCATCCTTCTCTGGCCCCCAGACTTCCCTTCTTTCCAGCTCCTCAGCTCCTCCCTCCCCACCCGATCGGATTCACCTGTCCCAGTTTCACCCACCCACCTGACCCCTAGCCCACACACCCGTTCCTCACTTCTTCCAGTTCTCCCTCAGGAACTCTGGATACGGCAACCCCTGGGATTCTGTAAAGGGTAAAAGGGGTACAGGGCAGGCTCATCCTCTGAAAGGCCCCTCAGTACTCCACCTCCTCCAGACCTGGGCAACTGACTCACAGAGCTGACCAAGACTGTATCTCGACTGCAAAGCGAGGTAGCCTGTGTGCAGTGAACTCTGGCGGAGGGAGGTACACCCCAGTCTCCTGACAGTGCCAGCATCCTCAGTCACTGCATCACCTGAGTGCACAACAGCTTCCAGAACCTGGGGCCTCCCATCCCTGAGACCCCAGAGCTGACAGGGCCTGGGATTGTGGGGACCCAGGAATCATCAGGAACCGGGCTTCCGGACAGTGGAGGGGCGAGGACTCTGGCTTCTGGAGATTCCGGCCCGCGCTCCCCAGCTCATGTGCTAGTACATAGGGAGCAGGAAGCAGAGGGGGCTGCAGACCTGCCCCAGGGGGAGGATTCGGGGACTGAGGGGAGGTCCTGATACAGTGGAAGGCTCTCTTCTGCTGCTGAGGGTGGTAGCCTAGGAGGGTAAGGGTGGGGGGCCCCTTGGGAGGAGCCTGCGCTGCTTTTCTTGCTTCAATAAAGTTTCTGTTCTGGATGTGAGAGGCCTCCGGGCTGTGTGAGAATCTCTGTCTCCTGATGTTTTGAGGTCCTCGCCCTTCTTTCCCCTGAAATGGACCCTTGTGGGAGTAGGACAGAGAGAAATGACTTGCTCTGTGGTCCCAAGTGTCTTGGGCTTAGGATCCTACTTTGAGTTTCCTCAGATCTTTCATGGACAGTTCCGGACCAGGAGGCAGGAGGCAGGAGGCCGGGGAGATGGGAGGTCGGGGTTCAATGGGAACTCTCTGACCAGTTGCTTCCTTCCTTGTCTTTGCACTCCTCACCTCACAAGTGGGGCTGAGGAATCACCCGCCTGCTTTCCTGCCTTCATGGTTGTCGTGAGGACCCCCTAGCTGTTCTAGCTTCTGGATTTGCAAGTTAGAGTGTGACACGGGTCTGCACAGGAGATTGTGTCTAGGAGTGAGCAAGAAGTTACTATTATTATTATTTTTGAGACGGAGTCTTGCTCTGTCACCCAGGCTGGAGTGCAGTGGCGAGATTTCCGCTCACTGCAAGCTCCGTCTCATGGGTTCACTCCATTCTCCTGCCTCAGCCTCCGGAGTAGCTGGGACTACAGGTGCCTGCCACCACGCCCAGCTAATTTTTTTGTATTTTTAGTAGAGACAGGGTTTCACCGTGTTAGCCAGACTGGTCTCAATCTCCTGACCTCGTGATCCGCCTGCCTCAGCCTCCCAAAGTGCTGGGATTACAGTGTGAGCCACCACGCCCGGCCCCAGGAAGTTATTTTTTTAGTCCCTCAGTCAGTCCCTCAGCCTAGCAAGGCCAGAGTGGGGCAGATGGTCTAGTCTCATGGAATAAACCAATCATAAAATTCCATGTCTCCACACTGCAATACCTTTTAATCAAGTGGCTGCCTCAATAAAATTCCATGTCTCCACACTGCAACACCGTTCAATCAAGTGGCTGCCTCAGTACTTCCCTTGCTTGTCCCGGGAAGTCCCCACCACATAGCAGAGTTCCCTTAGCCCTGCTGTGGCCTCCCCAGCCCCACATCCTGGTTGGGGAGAAGGCTGCTAGGGCTGGGTCTGGAACCACATTCTTGCTTCTCAAGGCTGTTGGAAGCGCCTCTTCTTCATATGAAGGTCACCCGTTCCCAGGGCTCCTAAGTGGCAGATGTTGGAGTTTCAGGGCCCAATCCCTGAGAGCTGGAACTCCCCAGGGGCCAAGAGCAGGGTCTTCCAGGGGGGCAGAGAGGAGGCCCCCTCAGATTGTGACTGGCTGCACCCCTGCTGGAGGGAGAAGAAAAGGAAGGGGTCAGCAGGGTGAGGGGGAGTCAAAGCAGCTGAGGGAGGATGGAAGAGCGACTCACCTGGTGCAGACACACAGCCCCGCCTCTTCTCCCCTGCAACAGACAGCAGAGTGAGGCCTCCATGTGGACAGACTCACACCCAAACTGCCCGGCCCATCAGGCCTTGGCAGAGCCATTTCCCCTCTCAATCTATTTTCCCTTCACCTAAAGGGAAACTTCTGACTTCCTTTCCTCCTCGGTCCTCCAGGAAGATTTTCCAGATTGCGTTTCCATCCCTCTTCCCGCCCAAGACCCAGTCACTCTTCCATCTGTCCCTGCCTTAGCACTTGGGAGTGGCACATACATGCCCTATCAGCCTCATCAAGCCCAGGGCCCCCTGAGACCTGAAGCAGTCCCCCTGGCTCTTTCTGCTGCTTGCTAATCTCCTTAACCAGGTTCTTTTGGTCTATTAGACTGTGTAGCAGATGGACCCTTTTGAGGACATATAGAATCATCTGAGAATGTTCACAAATCTGGAAAACACTTATAGGACCCAAAAAAACCCGACTCACAGATGACATTAACTCCAGCTGACTTCCAGCCCTCAATTCCCCTTTAACCAAGTGGGTCTCCCGAAGGCCCTGGGGATTATTGTGTAGGAACATTCTGGCTTATTTCACCCACACTGCCAGTCCTGCTTCCTCCATGCACAGCTCACCACCCAGATAGGCGCAGTTAAAGTGGCTGCAGGTCTGATTATAGCTCCAGAGAGTCACCAGGCTCTGGGCTCCATTCTGAGAGAATCTGGTGACCAAGAAGACTTCATGGGGGGGAATCAGCACCTCGCGCTCCTTGGGGAAGACAGAGAAGGCCTGGATAGGGGCCCCAAAGCAAGTCGTTAGAGAAAACAGGGTGGCATTACCAAATCTGCAGGCCACTGCCTTATCCAGGGAGCTGGAGGCAAACTGGCCTAAGCGGACAGAGTCCCCCAGCCTTTTGGGTTCAAAGCGAAGGCTGCCCACACCTCGGAACACCACCTCCCCAGGCCCTGTGCTGCAGCCCCCACCACCTCGCAGCAGCTGCAGGGCCCGGATCAGGTAGAAATGCAGGGCCTTGAAGGGAAAGTGCCTCATGTAGAGCTCCCGGGAGCCTCCGCCTGTCCGCACGGCCTGATTCAACTTCCAGTACAAGGTGTTAGATGAGTTGGTGTAGACCATAATGGCTATTCCATTCTGGGCTTTGAAGCCGGGGGGTAAGGTGAGCCCTCGATGCCTGTCCTCCCAGGCCTCCTGGGCTGCCTCCCAGGATTCCCGCAGCAGGGCATGGTGGGCCATTTCTGCCTTTAGCAGGGGGGCTGCCTTCTCCTCCATCTCCTCTGCACAACCCACATAGGCATCGTCAAAGGTGTCTGGAGCCAGTCCCAGGGGCAAGATGGGAACAGCCTGGGCCTGTGGAGGAAGGAAGAGAGGTGCCACACTGAAAAGAGCGTAAGTTCAGAGCACTGGACACGGGTCCTGGGGGCAAACCCATCCAGAAACACAGAATCTCATTTCTATCCCCAAATATCAGGTATATGCAATTTGGCAAGGACCCAATAAGAGGCTTAAATAGCACAGGCACTGGAGTCAGACAGACATGGGCTGAAATCTTTTTTTTTTTTTTTTTTTTGAGACAGAGTCTTGCTCTGTTGCCCAGGCTGGAGTTCAGTGGTGAGAGCTCTGCTCACTGCAAGCTCCGCCTCCCAGGTTGGAGTGATTCTCCCACCTCAGCCTCCCAAGTAACTGGGATTACCTGTGCATGCCACCATGGTTGGCTAATTTGTTCTTTTCTTTTTGTTTTTTTGAGACGAAGTCTCACTCTGTTGCCTAGGCTGGAATACAATGGCACGATCTTGGCTCACTGCAACCCTGCCTCCTGGGTTCAAGCAATTCTCCTGTCTCAGCCTCCTGAGTAGCTGGGATTACAGGTGTGCAATACCACACCCAGCTAATTTTTCGTATTTTTAGTAGAGACAGGGTTTCACCATGTAGGTCAGGCTGGTCTCGAACTCCTGACCTCAAGTGATCCACCAGCCTCAGCCTCCCAAAGTGCTGGGATTACAGGCATAAACCACCGCGCCCAGCCTGAAATCTCGACTTTACCACCTATTAGCTGTGAGATCTTGGGCAAGTGTCATAACTTTTCTGGACTTGAGGATACTTCCAACCTCACAGTTATTATGAAGACAGCATAAAGAGCATTACTTCTGTACAACCTAAAAGGGATCATCCTGTCATTAGAAAGGTTCCTGCGGTCGGTGGGAGGTGGGACTAGATGACTACCAAGCACTTTTCTGGCTGTAAGATCTAGCAGGCAGGTGATGTGCAAATACTACACACAGCAAGTGTCCAGCTACCTGACCCCCAGCCCCAGTCTCCTCAGGCTCTCTTTCCCTCTCATCCAGCAGGAAGCCCTTGCAGGTAGGTGCTCAGCCACCACACCAAATCACTGTCAGCTCTGAGACGCCTGCGTCCTCCCCTGCTCTGTACCCACATTTGGGGTAGGGGTGGTGGGGAGGACAAGCCTTGGCTGGGAGAGGCTGCCAGGACTGCAGCACACAGGTAACTCAAGGAGGCTTTGCGGGACTGTGCCTGCGCTGGGAGATGAGAGGTGGGGAGGAGAATGTTGGAGGCATCCAGAGAGGAATGGAGGTGGGGGTTCTAGGAGACAGAATGGGAACCTGGGGCTCCCTGCAGAGATGGAGGTTCCTGAGAGGAAGAGAGTTAAGAGTGGAATCCTAGGGAAGAGTCCCTGGGAGAGGGCTGTGAGGAGTCAGCCCCCAGTCCACTTCCTCAGGGTCTGCCCCCCAATGTCCCCCTTGGGGACTGGAGATGGTTCCTGGAGTTACCTTCCAGGTGTGGAGGCCAAGGCAGCCGAGGGCCATCATCAATGACGCCAGTGCCATCCCTGGAGGAGACGTGAGGGCCAGGAGTCCGGGTGAGGGCGGGACCAGTGGCGCTGGAGTCCTGGTTTCGAGGGGCTCGAGGGAGATCTGGACCCTGTCTCCAGGCGCGCGGGATCCGGGGTCCAGGATTAGGGCCCTGGCGGGGCGTGGGCGGGGCCGGGGGCGTGGGCGGGGCCTGGAGTTTATTGTCCGCCCCCCGCTCCAAGTCTCCGCTCCAGACTCCCGACGCCCCTTCCTCAGAGTCTCCAGTCCGGGGACTTTTCTGAGACGGTAAAGGCGGGGCCGCAGTTTGGCTCCGCCAAAGAGGAGAGGGCCGGGGGCAGAGGACCCACCTGAAGGTTGCGGAGGCCGCGAGCGGGAGGTAGCGCCGAGGGCTCGGGCGGGCGCTGCGCTGTCCCCGGAGTCCGGCTGAAAGCAAGGTTCCCGAGGCTAACTAGAGCCCCCGCGCTGGTAACCCGACACCCCTTTCCCAGTGCCGCACGCGGGGCCGGGAGCGGCCGCGGCGGGGCAGGGGCTGAGGGTCAACTCCCCTTCTCCAGGACTGCGGGGTCTTTCTGCGGGACCCTCTTTGGCTGTGAGGGGGAAGGAACTTGTGAGACTTGGTCTCTCCCTCAGGCGGTCCCTGACCCGGTCGGCCCCTGGCCCCCAGACGATCAGGCCAGGGGGCCCTGCGGAGGTCCCGCCAGCCAAAAGGTCGCCCCTGGAGCACTCTGAATTGCAGAGTTTGCATTTGGCCCACACCTTGGGCCACGTGCTCCAGCATCTGAGCAGCGCCCACTCCCTCCCTTCTCTGGGCCCTCTCCCCATACCCCTTCAGTGGGGTTGGGCCAGAGACAGAGCCCTTGGTCTCAAATCCACAGGATCCAGGCTCGCCCCTCCCCCAGACCGCTTTCGGTACCGCTCAGACTCAGGTGACCCATGTTTGTAAACACTGGCCTTTCCCCCACCTCCTCTGGGCTTATCTATAAATAACCTGGCTCTGAGTTTTGGATGCCGCGTCAGAGGCCATGGGGGAAGGGGCCAGCGGAAGAATTCGTAGCTCAGGGAAGAGCTTCCCAGCAGCCTGAGCCAGGAGGAGGGGGGATGTCACCCTTCCTTCCCCCAGCGGCCGGAGGGTCGCTGAAAGCTAGGATTTCTGAGGGTTCCGAAAGCTAGGATTTGGAAATGCTGCCTGCTGGAGCTGAGGTAGGCACGAAAGATTAGAGCTACCCAAAGGACTCCAGCCTGGTCTGGCTCATTAATTTCCCCCATCCCTGTCCCCTCATCCCCTCAGACTGTCAGATAAAAAGTTTCCTCCACCTAGAATCCTGCTGTCTCCCAGAATCCTTTCTGTAGACCAAACGGGAAGACATACTGTGGGTCCAGTCTTGGAGGAGGGTGGGGAGGGAGGTGCTTCTGAGTGCTTGTTAGAAAAACAGCTCCAGGGCAGGGCGCGGTTGCTCACTCCTGTAATCCTAGCACTTTGGGAGGCTGAGGCGGGAGGATCACGAGGTTAGGAGTTGGAGACCAGCCTGGCCAACATGTTGAAACCCCGTCTCTACTAAAAATACAAAAATTAGCCGGGCATGGTGGTGGGTACCTGTAATCCCAGCTACTCAGAAGGCTGAGTCAGGAGAATTGCTTAAAACCAGAAGGTGGAGATGGCAATGAGCTGAGATGGAGCCACTGCACTCCAGCCTGGGCGAAATGCCAGAAAGAAAGACAGAGAGAGAGAGAAAAAGAAAGAGAAAGAAGTTGCCTGGGCTAAAGGCAAAATGAGAAAGAGAGAGAGAGAGAGAGAGAGAAAGAGAAAGAGAAGTTGCCTACATATCCTGCCTGCCCCGCTCTCTGGAGGAAGCTGAGTGTTTGCAGTTGCTTGAAGAGAAGATACCACCTGGGGACAGCTTGGCCTGCTGGGACAGCCCCTGAGACCAGATCTACTGGGATCACTGCTTTGTCCCTCTCCACTCTCTGGCTTTGGGGGATTGCTTCTCCCATCCCAGGACCTGGAACCCAAAATAAGGCCCCAAGAGATGGACTCAAATCTAGTCATTGGGGGCCAGGCACGGTGGCTCACACCTGTAATCCCAGCACTTTGGGAGGCTGAGGCGGGCAGATCCCGAGGTCAAGAGATTGAGACCATCCTGGCCAACATGGTGAAACCCCATCTCTATTAAAAATACAAAAATTAGCCTGGCATGGTGGCGGGCGCTTGTAGTGCCAGCTACTCGGGAGGCTGAGGCAGGAGAATCGCTTGAACCCGGAAGGCAGAGGTTGCAGTGAGCCGAGACTGCACCACTGCACTCCAGCCTGGCGACAGAGCAAGACTCCATCTCAAAAAATAAAAAACAAAAAACAAAACAACAACAACAACAAAAATCTAGTCATTGGCAGGGATCCTAAGTGTAGCAGAAAGAAGTCCTCCAAGATCACCTGGCGAGTCAGAGCTGGAACTGGGACCCAGAATCCAGCCTCCTCAGTTTGAATCTCTCCTGGCACCTTGCTAAGTCTCAGTGTTCACGTGAAAGGTACAAAATCTAAGGAGATGCTCTCTGAAGCTGAGGTGCTGAAGCTTCCTCCTCTCTTCCTCCTCCTTGACTGACCAGAGTACAGGACCATAGCCAGTGAGGAGGCAGTTGTCCCAACCTGGATCCCTAGTGCTTCAGTCCACCTCCTATCTGGCTTCAGGGATTCTCTTTTTTGTAGGACGAACACTGGGCAGGTCAGACGGAGCAGAGGCTGGTGTTCCTGAGCCCTGAGGAGACATCCAGAAATAGATGGGGGAGTGTCGTGTTTCTGAGCAGCTGTGTGGGGGAGGTGCAAGGGGTGGGGATTGACAATATCAAAAAGAAACTTGTCCTCCCCTCTCCTGGTGGCCATGGTGGAGACCAGCAGCAGCTTCCCCACGCAGGACAAGGCCTAGGTAAGGAGCGCACCACTCTCCTCCGGGGTGTTGAGCAGGAAAAGTGGTGTTGAGGTGAAGTTTGGGAGATGAATGGTGGAATTTTAGGAGTCATGAGAACAAGTTTCCAGGAAACTTTGATGAAGTTTGGGATACTTAGGAAGGTTGGGGTCCATGGGAAGTTTGAGATTCCTGTGGGGAGATTTGGGTTCACATTCCCAGGAGGGTATGTTCAGCAAGGGCCTGGATGAGGAACTGTTGAAAGAATGGCCCCAAGCGGGATGAGAGGGAGGACAGAACGGCAACTCCCTTGGGCTAGAAAAGGAGTTACTCAGCATCCCCAGCAATTTGGCCCATGCCCACCCCATCCCTCCGGCTCCCACTACATCTCCCTTGACACTGGTCACCAAGGCCAGCCACCCACCTGCTCTGCAGTGGTCTCCGCTGTTAGCTGAGCTGAGAAAGTTCCTCAGACTCTCAGCAAACATGCTGAGGCCTACCCAGTGCCTGGTCTTGGCATACATGCTCCCTGCCCTCAAGGAATTCACCGGCCAGGAGAGGAGCCAGGCACATATAAGGGCAGCACAATGTGATAAGGACAGTGACAGAGGACAGCACAGGGTGATATGGGAGCCCAGAGGAGTCAGAGGGCTTCCTGGAGGAGGTGACCCCCCCGGGTTAAGCCTTGAAGAGTGGGTAGCCAGGAGAAGGGTGTCCCAAGGAGAGGGGACAATGTGTGCAGAACCACAGGGAGGGTAACCATGGAGTCCCACCTGTGACTTTGTTCTGCACTACAGAAGCCAAGCAGGAGTGGCAGGTGCGAGCTGCAGAGGGCGTAGAGGGCCAGGATAAGGATGTTGGCCTCTGTTTTGAGGGTATGGAGGGATGTTTTGTTTGTTTGTCTGTTTGTTTGCTTTTTTTTTTCGAGATGTGTTCTTATCTCTTCCCTCATAATTTTCATCTCTGCATTTTTCCTCTATACTTTGAGATATTTCTTCCAGTCAGTTTTGGCACAGAGGGCTTTTAAGCACATAAGGAACATGACCCGTTTAGAAACATCGCCCTCCCTGGGCAGGCAGGTTAGTGGGGCTGACTGTGGAGGGGGAGATCAGTGAGGAGGCACGGGCAAGCCTGAGCCAAGGCAGGGAGTGCGGATGTTGAAGGGAAGGAGACTCTAGGATGGACCCCTATCTCACCCAGCGTTAGTTGGCAACTATGTGAATGTTTGACGAATGATTGACTGAATGGACACCCAGGGGACCATCACGGATGACTGGCTGAATAATGGGGATGGTTTATCACGTGAGACTTGCCATGGCAAATTAACAGGAGCCACCCTGAGCTAGATTAAGCCTAAAGAGGATTTTATCACAAGGATACCATGGTATCTCATGGAACCCAAGGACCAGATGCAAAGAGACTCTAGAAAGCCAAGGAGGAGTGCGGCTCCACCTGACCTCTGGCTTCAACCATCAAGCAGCTCGCCCTCTGCCTTTCAGCCTTCTCTTTTCCTTGCTCTGGGGATCTCATCTCTTCCCTGATTTCAATTGCCTGTGACTCTCATGTCTCGTTGATTGTCCATTCTGCTACCTCTTGGACATCTGCTTCAGGGAGTTCACATTTCCCAAAGTGAACTCACCATTTCCCCTCCAAACCTGATCATTGATTCAATACATTTTTATTGAGCATCTGCTTTGTAATGGGACTACAATAATGAGCAAAATGAGCTTTTCAAGTCTCCTGTGGTATAACATTGTGCCTACAGTAACAATAAGGCATTGTGAACTTAAACATGTGTGAAGAGGGTACATCTCACATTAAATGTTCTTGCTACATGAAAGCCAAAACCAAAACAAAAGTAAATAAAACTAAAAACAGGCCAGGCGCGGTGGCTCATGCCTGTAATCCCAGCACTTTGGGAGGCTGAGGTGGGTGGATCACCTGAGGTTGGGCGTTCAATACCAGCCTGACCAACATGGAGAAACCCTATTTCTACTAAAAATGTAAAATTAGCCAGGCGTGATGGCGCGCGCCCGTAATTGCAACTACTTGGGAGACTGAGACAGGAGAATCGCTTGAACCCGGGAGGCAAAGTTTGCAGTGAGCCGAGATCGCGCCATTGCACTCCAGCCCGGGCAACGAGAGCAAAACTGTCTCAAAAAACAAAACAAAACAAAAAACACAAGGCTGGGTGTGGTGGCTCACGCCTGTAATCCCAGCACTTTGAAAGGCCTAGGCGGATGGATCACCTGAGGTCAGGAGTTCGAGACCAGCCTGGCCTGGTCAATATGGCGAAATCCCTTCTCAACTAAATACAAAAATCAGCTGGGCGTGGTTGTGGGCACCTGTAGTACCAGCTACTCGGCAAGCTGAGGTGGGAGAATCGCTTGATTCTCAGGAGGCAGAGGTTGAAGTGAGATGAGATCGTGCCACTGCACTCCAGCCTGGGCAACAGAGTGAGACCCTGTCTCAAAATAAATAAATAAATATATAAATAAAAATAAAAATAAAATGAAAATAAAGGGATACACAGAAACTTGGAGGTGACGAATATGTTTATTCCCTTGATTGTGGTAATGGTAACATGAGTGTATACTTAGTTCCAAAATCACCAAATTGTATATATTAATTATGTGCAGTTTTTTGTATACCAATTATACTTCAATGAGGCTGAAACAAAAAACGTAAAGTTTCACAGGGCTGTGTTGGAGCAGGACACTCTGCAGTCATGTAAGAATGGTGGAAGAAGATGGGCAATAAAAGAGGGGCTTCATTTTTTTTTTTTTTAAGTCTACTGCACTTCTCCTCTGTGTTTCTAGTTTAAAGAATGGAAACCTGGGTGTCATCCTTGATTTTTCCCTCTCTCATGTCCCCTATAGCCCATCAGACATCAAGTCTTGTAAATTCTATCTCCTAACTCTGTCTGTCCTCACTGCCATTCTCTTAGGTCCTCTGATTCCATGTCCTCAGTCTGCCTTCAAGCCTCTCCTCCCCCCAAGCCTCTGATCTATCTTGTTTACTGTAGAGCAGATGCAGACAGAAACTGAGTTGCAGAGACACAATGAGAGATACAGCTGGCCCAGTGGGCTTTTGCTGCATAACCATTTTGCCGTGTGCCACAAAATCTCAGTGGCAAACAAACATTTACTCCCAGGCTCATGGTCTTTGGGTTGACAGCAAGTGGCTTATCTAAACTGGACTTGGTTGGGCAGCTCTGCTCAGACCACTGGTCTGGCTCAGCTGGGGTCTTCCTCGCTCTGGGCTGGGCTCAGGCCTGTTCCTCATGTGTTCATTCTGGGGGTCCAGACTAAAGAAGAATCTTCCGAAGAAAAGACTCTCAGTTTCCTTCCCCCAAAAGCAGACCCATAGACAAGTACATGGGTGCAGTGAACTTCTTTATAAAGTGATCCCAAGAAATACAAGTCAGGGAGTGGCAAAGTCAGATAGAGAAGAGAAAAGCAGCCAATTAAAAGCCTATTACCACTGTGATCAACTAGTCCCACCGGAGACCCTCTATGGGACAGGAAGTCTGACTTCCAGACCTCATTGGTTGAAGGCTGTCCTTGGGAACATTAAATCCCCTACACTTTTGGCCTGCCCTGTGCTTGCAAAAAAACAGGCTCCCAGGGTGATGAAGAACGCCTCAGACACAGAAAAATGTGAGCCCTAGAAGTGGGAGGCTGACAGCCTGCGTGAGAACTATCCACTGCACCTGCAGGTGGACTCGAAGACGGTGTCCGGGAATATGGGCTGAGGAAACCACATAGTCAGGCACACTCTCTTTTACCCTGAATCCTTAGATCAACTGGCAGGAAGGCCTCTGATTGGCCTTCTTGGGTCATGTGTCCATCCATGAGCCAATCACAATGGTCAAGGCCTTAGGGCACCAGTCTTGGGGCATGTGTTCCTCTCTTGGGGTGCATAGAGTGAGAAAAAGCCTCACCTGAGCCCATGACTGGATTCTACACACAGGAAAGTGAGCAACTAGTAACAGCAGCTCTAGCCTCCTTGGTGAACTTCAAGAGACCACAGACAAGAACTCAAGTCTTTTTTTTTTTTGAGACGGAGTATCACTCTTGTCGCCCAGGCTGGAGAGCAATGGTGCGATCTCGGCTCACTGCGATCTCTGCCTCCCAAGTTCAAGAGATTCTCCGGCCTCAGCTTCCGCACAACACCATGCCCAACTAATTTTTTGCCTTTTTAGTAGAGACGGGGTTTCACTATGTTGGCCAGTCTGGTTTCAAACTCCTGACCTCAGGTGATCCACCCGCCTTGGCCTCCCAAAGTGCTGGGATTAGAGGGGTGAGCCACCGCACTCGCCCAGGGAAGTGGGTTTTCATAGCTCACTGCAGCCTTAACCTCCTGGACTCAAGCAATCCTCCTACCTTCAGCCTGCCGAGTTGTTGGGACTACAGATATGCACCACCACACCCTGTAGCCTGGCGTATGTATGTATGTACGTATGTATGTATTTTAATTTTTGAGACAGAGTCTCACTCTGTCGCCCAGGCTGGAGTGCAATGGCGCGATCTTGGGTCACTGCAACCTTCGCCTCCTGGATTCAAGCTATTCTCCTGCCTCAGCCTCCCGAGTAGCTGGGATTACGGGCACCTGCCATTATGCCCAGTTAATTTTTGTATTTTTGTAGAGATGGGGTTTCACCACGTTGGCCAGGCTGGTCTTGAACTCCTGACCTCAGGTGATCCACCCGCCTCGGCCTCCCAAAGTTGCCGGGACGTATTTTTTTATTTTTAGTAGCGATGGTGTCTCACTATGTTGCCCAGGCTGGTTTCAAACTCCTGGGCTCAAGTAATCCTCCCACCTCAGTCTCCCAAAGTGCTGGGATTACAGGCTGGAGCCACCATGCCTGGCTGTTGTTCATAATTTTATCCTTAGTACCTGACATGCTACAGATGCTAGACAAAAAAAAAAAAAAAAAAATTGTTGGATAAATGAGTAAGCAGCTTTTGAGGGGGAGAAGATAATGAGCTCCATTTTGGACATGTGGAATTTGGTAAAAACTACTGCTAACTCCATTGCCCAGAGAAGCTCATACTTCACATTTAAATTGTGTATTGGCAATTACAGGTCTTAGATTTGAAGATTAATTATAGACACATAGAATCCCAGTGTCTTAGAGTCACTGAACTATCCAAACTTAGGTCTCCCCAGAGCCAGAGATGATAAAGCAGCGACGCTTAACCTAAATGAGATTGGGGGCAGAAGCATAACCACCCTGATATTTATGTAACATTTGTTTGAAGGTGCATATATTCATTTTCTAAAGGGAGGTTTCAGCTTTTATCAGATTCCAAAAGATAAAGGCCCATTGACTATATTACCATTTGTGTACAGAAAGAAAACAGAGGCTGGAAGCTTTGACTCATACCTGTAATCCCAGCATGCTGGGAGGCCAAGGTGGGTGGATTGCTTGAGCCCAGGAATTCGAGATCAGCCTGGGCAACATGGCAAAACCCCATCTCTACAAAAAATATAAAAATAAGCCAGATATCGTGTTGTGTGCCTGTAGTCCCAGCTACTCGGGAGGCTGAGGCAGGAGGATCGATTGAGCTCAGGTCAAGGCTGAAGTGAGCTATGATCATTCCACTGTACTCCAGCCTGGGCAACAGAGCAAGACCCTGCCTCAAACAAACAAAAAAAGTAGATACCATTTTGCCTACCAGTTAAATGGAAATTAAAAAGAGATCAATCATATTCAGCAATGGCAAAGATGTGGAATAAAGGGCACTCTCATCCATTGTTGGTGGGGTGGTGGTTTCTATCAAAATAAAAAGTATTCATATTCTTTAGATCTCATTTTACTTCTCAAAATCTTTCCTATAAAAACATGCACACAAGTAGACAAGGATTTATATACCTAAATATTCACTGTAGTATTATGTACAATATTTTAAAATTAGGAAAAAAATCTAAGTGTTCATAAGTATGAAATGGTTAATTATGGTTTATACCGTGAGATAAACCAAGCTGCCATTATGTGAGCAAGGGAGGTATGTATGTACTGACATGGAAGGAAGTTCATGATATTTTTTTCCTGAGGAAAAAAGGTAATAAAGTGTGTATGTGTAAGCATGTTTCCTTTTAGTTCTTAAAAAAATGACAAGGCCGGGCGCGGTGGCTCAAGCCTGTAATCCCAGCACTTTGGGAGGCCGAGACGGGCGGATCACGAGGTCAGGAGATCGAGACCATCCTGGCGAACACGGTGAAACCCCGTCTCTACTAAAAAATACAAAAAAAAACTAGCCGGGCGAGGCGGCGGGCGCCTGTAGTCCCAGCTACTCGGGAGGCTGAGGCAGGAGAATGGCGTGAACCCGGGAGGCGGAGCTTGCAGTGAGCTCAGATCCGGCCACTGCACTCCAGCCTGGGCGACAGAGCCAGACTCCGTCTCAAAAAAAAAAAAAAAAAAAAAAAATGACAATAGGGTCGGCGCGGTGGCTTATGCCTGTGATCCCAACACTTTGGGAGGCCGAGGTGGGCGGATCACCTGAGGTCAGGAGTTCGAGACCATCCTGGCCAGCATGGTGAAACCCTGTCTCTACTAAGAATACCAAAATTAGCTGGGCGTGGAGGCAGGCACCTGCAGTCCCAGCTACTCCAGAGGCTGAGGCAAAAGAATCACTTGGACTCAGGAGGTGGAGGTTGCAGTGAGCCAAGATCACGCCACTGCACTCCAGCCCGGGCAACAGAGTGAGACTTGGTCTCAGAAAAAAAAAGAAAAAAGAAAAGAAAAGAAAAAAAAAGGAAACTGCCAGTTTCAATCCAGACCCAATGCCTGGACACCCTCTTCTTGGAGACACTTCAGGCACTCCACCTGTCCCCCAACAGGGAGGGTGTGGAACGCTTGTGGTTCATGCTGCTTGCTTTGGGGAAACCATTATCCTCTGTCTTCTCCTGCTTTTCTGATCCCCTCTTTCCCCAGCACCTAGGGTTTATATCTGTCCCTCCCTGGAAGCATGGAAGGCTCATTCCACAAGAGGACTGCAGGGAGTGGGGGCAACCGGTGGACCAAGCCCTGCTCTAAGTCTGTTCCTGGAGTCCTGCTAAGGCCCCACCAGCTGCACACTCCTGGATCTGCCCCCATCCCAACCCCATAACCCCTGTGAGGTGAAGCCCAGCTCTCTCACCGTGGCTGTCAAGTCCCTTAATGACTGGCCCATCTTCCCAACGTTCCTACCCTGCGAGCTCTGCCAGCCTAGAAGACATGTCTTTCCCTCTTTACATCCTCAGTTCCCACCTCCAATACATTTGCTTTTTCCATTCCTGCTGCACAATATCTCCCAGTCTCCACTTGCTGACATTTTAGTCTCTTGTTCATCCTGCAAGACCCTGTTCACGTCACTCCTCCAGGAAGTCACGCATGTTCCTTCCAGCAAGAAAGGTCCTTTCTCTTCTGAGCCTCCATGTCTGTCTTGTGACTCTCAGTGCCAAGCACTAGGAATGGCACAGACTAAGTGTCGATTCATGTTTATTAAACTATACAGATTAACACTGCAATTTTCCAGATGAGGAAACTGAGACTCAAAGAGAGACAGCAACTGGCCCAGGGTCACCAGCATGCAGATGCCTGCTATGATGTCTCTGCTTCTTGTGTCTGTGGGCCTCATGGAAGCACTTCAGGTACGGGCATCCCCCACTGTTCCCACCCCAGCAGGGAACTGAGCCATCAGCTTCTTCTGAACCCTGGAAGGAGAGAGGAAAGAATGCCTGACGCTTCCCTTGGGGATCACTCAGCCCAAGGGGACAGCCCCAGATGCTAGTCTTGGGGAAATTACAGCCAGAGGTTCCCAATCCCCTTCCCCACCAGGTGTGTTTGGGGCCCTTCCTGCCTTTCTCAGTGGAGGGGAGAGCTGGATGGCAGGGGACTCATTCTCTCAGGGGCCTATCCTCTCAGTCCCTGCTGCTCCTGCCCCCTCAGGCCCAGAGCCACCCCATCACACGACGAGACCTCTTCTCTCAAGAGATGCCGCTGGACATGGCCCTGGCTTCCTTTGATGACCAGTACGCTGGCTGTGCTGCTGCCATGACAGCTGCTCTTCCAGATCTCAACCACACGGAGTTCCAGGCCAACAAGGTGTATGCAGACGGCTGGACACTGGCAAGAAGCCAATGGCAGGAGCGCCAGGCCTGGGGGCCAGAGTGGAGTCTCAGCCCTACCCGTCCACCCCCGCCACCCCTGGGCTTCCGCGATGAGCATGGGGTGGCCCTCCTGGCCTACACAGCCAACAGCCCCCTGCACAAGGAGTTCAATGCAGCCGTGCGTGAGGCAGGTCGCTCCCGGGCCCACTACCTCCATCACTTCTCCTTCAAGACACTCCATTTCCTGCTGACCGAGGCCCTGCAGCTCCTGGGCAGGGGCCAGCGTCCACCCCGGTGCCACCAGGTGTTCCGAGGTGTGCATGGCCTGCGCTTCCGGCCAGCAGGGCCCGGGGCCACTGTGAGGCTGGGGGGCTTTGCTTCCGCCTCCCTGAAGAATGTTGCGGCCCAGCAGTTTGGTGAGGACACCTTCTTTGGCATCTGGACCTGCCTCGGGGCCCCTATCAAGGGCTACTCCTTCTTCCCTGGAGAGGAAGAGGTGCTGATCCCCCCCTTCGAGACCTTCCAAGTGATCAATGCCAGCAGACCGGCCCAGGGCCCCGCCCGCATCTACCTCCAGGCCCTGGGCAAGCGCAGCACCTACAACTGCGAGTACATCAAAGGTAGGAGGGCAAGCGCCAGTCAGCACCTGTGCAGAAGGTGGGCCTTCCACATCCACCAGGGACTTCGGCAAACCCAAGCCCCTATCTCCTGTGTCCCAGGGATACATAAATACAACCAGTCATATCCACCAGCTCCCAACCCCTTCCATCTAAGGGGAGACATAACCTTTTGAGGGGTGCACTTACTGCCCTTGAAGGGATCTAAGCCATAGTTGGCCACTTGCCTGCTGGGTGGCTGGAAAGGTTTCCTGGCCAAGGGAGGGGTCTCTGACCATTTGGGCGGGCAAGCAGGCCTGGTCGGGCTTTTCTCCTGGTCAGAGGCTGGAAGGGAATTATTTTCCAGCCAGATTATTGATACCTAAATAGCTGTTGCCAGAAATGAGTAGGAGCCCCAACCTCAGTTTCTGAGAAGAGTGCATTGATGAGCTGGAAGAAGAATTCTGTGCTGGGTGGGGTGGTGGGCGCAGGGAGACAGCAGCTGGGTGCTGTGCCCCTAAGGTCACACTCAGGCTGTGGTCGGGAAGTGGTGGACGCTCCTCCTGTCCATGTCCCCAGCACAGGCCAGAAGAAGAACCACGGGAATGGGCCCAGGTTCTTAATTTCTGAAGGGCTAAGGACTTCACTTCCTATCTTGGACAGCAACAGGAGCATGCATGAGTTGACATAAGGTGAGGAGGGCATGCAAAGAACACAAACCAGGCTGGGGCGAGGCATGGAAGAGGGAGAGGTGAGTGTGGCAGGGAGGCAAAGTTACAGGCCCAGGGAGCAGGAGTGCCCCAGAGTCGACCCTGGCTTTGATGGCCCACTCCCTTCTGGCCCTGCTTCTCATGGGTTGAGGCAAACCTAGTCGAGGAAGTTCCAGCATGAAAGAGCAGAATTAGGGGGAAATGTACCAACTTCTCCTAGAACAAGTCAGGAATGGACCACCAGGGCTCTGAGGTCCCTTTCCATCCTGAGAGCTCCTGAGCCTTTCATTCTTTATTCATTCTTTACTGTTTCTTTTCTATAGACAGGAAGTGCAAGTCTGGGCCTTGCCATCTGGATAATTCAGGTAAGGGCTGCAGGCACCCGTGGGACTCAGTTCATCCCTGACCCCATCACCTGGATCTTTTTTTTTTTTTTTTTTTTTTTGAGACGTAGTCTCACTCTGTCGCCCGGGCTGGAGTGCAGTGGCCAGATCTCAGCTCACTGCAAGCTCCGCCTCCGGTTTACGTCATTCTCCTGTCTCAGCCTCCGGTAGCTGGAAACTACAGGCGCCCGGCACCTCGCCCGGCTAGTTTTTTGTATTTTTTTAGTAGAGACGGGTTTCACGCGTGTTCGCCGGATGGTCTCGATCTCCTGGCTCGTGAGTCCGCCCGTCTCGGCCTCCCAAGTGCTGGGATTACAGGCTTGAGCCACCGGCGCCCGGCTTTTTTTTTTTTTTTTTAAGACGGAGTTTACACTCTTGTTGCCCAGGCTGGGAGTGCAATGGCACGATCTCAGCTCACTGCAACCTCCGCTTCCCAGGTTCAGCCATTCTCCTGCCTCTGCTCGCTTGATTACATGCTGGGATTACAGGCGCATGCCACCACGCCTGGCTAATTTTTTGTATTTTTAGTAGAGACCACAGCCTGAGCTGGACCTTAGGGGCACAGCACCCAACTGCTGTCTCCCTGCCCACCATGTTGGCCAGGCTGGCCTCGAACTCCTGACCTCAGGGGATCCATCCACCTTGGCCTCCCAAAGTGCTGGGATTACAGACGTGAGCCACCGTGCCCGGCCCACCTGGATCTTTTATAAGGAAACAACCTCATTAATAATAATAATAAAAAAAGTGCACTCACTGAAGTGGCACCTTGGGGGTTGCCAGCCTTAGCCAAGAGATGAGTGTGTGGGAGAGCAGATGGTTGGGGGAGCAGAGACACCTGCTCTCCAGCCTGGGTCTGCCTGTCCTTTGCAGGAAAAGGCCACTGATCAGGCCCCTGAGAGATTCAGGCTGCAGTGAAGTGAGGGATGGAAGGGCTGCTCCCTGCAACGTCCTCCTCTGGTCCTTCTCTGCCTCCCAGTGCAGAACCCACTGTCTCTGTTACTGCCCTCAGGGCTCCCTCAAACCCACCTTTGAAGGCCAGCTTTGGGTGCTGGAGGCCTGGGCTCTAGTCCAGGCTCTGCTCTTTCTCTATGACCAACCCATTCTTTCTCTGTGCCTCAGTTTCTCGGTGTGTATAATAAGCAAATTGGACCAGATGATCTCCAGCTGTGACTCTTCTCTTCCCTCAGACACTTGGTGTGCCAAGGCCTACCCAGGTCACCATGTCTCTAGGTGGGAATGGGCCATTTCCAGGGAAGAAACAGCAGCTCCTCCCCAAGCCTTTAGAACTCCTCTGTCCTTCAGAACTCTGTAAGTGGGCAGGAAGGACCCCCCAGCTTCCTCTGATCCACTCCAGGCACATCATGCCATTCATTCTCACCACGCCCCAATGGTACTGTCATCACCTCTGTTCTGCAGATGACAGTACCAAGGTACAAAGGCGCAAAGAGGAAGCCGAGGCGCGAGTGGCTCAGCGGCGTGTGGAATCCCAGCACTATTTTGGGAGGCAAGAATGGGGCGAGCGCCTGGCGGGTGGTCAGGAGGTTCGGAGACCAGCACGACCACATGCGAGAAACAAGGGGGACGGCGCGTCTGGCTGAGAAAGAGGGGGAGAGGATACAAGAGAAAGTAGGGTGTCATGCCTGTGCGAATCCTAGCCCGCTACCGTTGAGGGCTGGAGCCAGGAGGGAATCTCGGTTGGAACTAGGAGGCGGCAGGTTGCCTGTGAGCCAAGGATTGTGCCATTGCAACTCCAGCGCTGCGGCGCCAGACAAGAGTGAACCTCAGTCCAAAACAGAAACAACAGAAACAGAGAAGAACATCAACGGTGCAAAGAGGAGCAAGCGCGCCGCGTGGCACCCAGATCTACTTAAGAAGTGAGTCCAGAGAGCCTGGCGCTCTAGGCAAACTGCTGAGAGCACGCACACCAGATGGTTTCCATCCCGGTCCGCCCGACATCATCCGGCATCCCATCCCATGCCCAAGACCCCTGCCCCAGTCCCCTCGCCCTCCCACGTTCCCCTCCCCAACCCATCCCATCCCATCCCCTCCCCTCGCAGAACCCCATCCCATCCCATCTTTATTGCACAGTAATCTATGGGAAGGAGGCGGAACAGGAGGCATTACCCATTTCATATGGTCAAGTGAGACCCAGAGACAAATTATTTGCTCAAGGTGACAGTGAGTTCACGGCAGAGCCAGGATCAGAAGCCAAGTTTCCAGCCTCCCAGGCATCTTTGAGTTTTGATGATATAATTCCAGTAACTGGAAAAGTTTAGGATTTCTCCTCCTAGTCCACCCCACACCTCTCCTACCAGGGTTTGGGCAAAGGAGCCAAGTTCAGCCACAGTAGATCCCACTCTGATCTTAAATCCACGTTACATCCCACTCTGAAGCACCTTATTTGTGGCAATAGAAAGCAGTTAAGTTAGACACAATGACCTCTGGAAGAGAAACTGGGACTCTAATTGGTCTCCTCGTCTCTGTCTACCTTCCTAAATTCTTTATTTAAAAAAAATTTTTTTTCACTCTGTCACCCAGGTTGGAGTGCAGTGGCACCACTACGGCTCACTGTAGCCTCAAACTCTTGGGCTCAAGTGATCCCCCCACCTCAGTCTCCCAAGTAGCTTGGACTACAGATATATGCCACCATGCCTGGCTACTTTTTGTATTTTTTGTAGAGAAGGGGTCTCCCTATGTTGCCCGGGTTGCCTAAAATTGTTTAAAGCAGTCAAATTTAGCAGTGGGGGCATTGTACATCAACTTTAGTGACACTAGTGTAAGTTCTGATAACACATTACCATTGGACCAGCGCCTCCCTAAACTTGATCTTTATCTCTGTTGCCTGTGGCAATTTTGTATATCAGTCTGTCCAGCTCACTCTGCCAATCTCTCCACCTTGAATCTGTGTGTCCCCACTTTGCTCCTGTGCTCCTAAATACCTCTTTTTCTCTCTCTCTCCCAAAACCTCTCTGCCTGTTTTCTCTGCAGCCATGGGTCAGAGCCCCCTCTCTGCAGTTTCGTCTCTGCTGCTGCTGCTCTGGTTCCTCGCAGTGAGGGCCTTTCCAGACAGTCCAGGCCTCCTTTGATGCATGAGACACGGGACAGCCTCACCTGCTGCCTCTGCCCATCCTGAAGATGTTGGCAATGTGTGCTTTCAGTGTAACCAAGATTCCTGGCAACCCCATCTGCAGGGAACTCTGGGACCTTCTCTGGTAGCTGCCAGACCTGCTGGTGGAGAAACAGGAGACAATTTGGGGACTGAACCTTACCCAGGGCTCTAGGAGTGAGACACTGAATAAAGGGTTGGGCCGGCGGTGTGGGGGGTACTTCAAGACAGGCAGCAACTCACTTGGAGATAGAAAGACTTCAGTTGATTTGGGGGGTGACTGGAGAGGAAAGCACTTCGCAGTGATACCTGTTGGTGTTACTCAGATGCCTCACATGTCCATCTGGAAAGCTCTTGTTCACTCCTCCAGGAAGCCTTCTGTGACCTCTCCCACCCAGCTGGGGTAGTGACCCTGCCTCTGTGCTTCCACAGAGCCCTGAATGCTTCTGTATACCACATGTCCATGTCTGTCTGCCATGTCAAACTGTGAGCTTCCTGAGGGAAGGGACTGGGTCAGAGGCACAGAGGTAGTGCCAGGAAATGTGTGAAACTCAGAAAGGAACAAATACCTGTGAATGGCTGGTCCCTGCACTGCCCCTGCCTTGGACACCGTCAAGCTCTCAGTGTCCGAGTGTGAGAATGGGGTGGACGGTGCCTAACTCCAGCACACAGAGAGAAGGAGAGATGGAAGAGAGAGCTCTAGTCCTCCATCAGCACCTCAGCCAAATCCCATTCTTTTGTCAGCACAGATGTAACTTCTGCTCTAATCCATGAGTCCTGAGGCTCCTCTCATCATGGCTCACTGTAGCCTCAAACTCCTGGGCTCAAGAGATCCTCCCACCTCAGCCTCCCAAGTAGCTGGGACTACAGATACGTGCCACCACACCTGACTAATTTTTGTGTTTTTTTGTAGCGACAGGGTCTCCCTAAGTTGCCTAAGTTCTTTTTTTTTTTTTTAAGCTCGTCATATTTAGCAGTGGGGGGTTATATACCAACTTTAGTGACAGTGACATTAATAAGTTCTGATAATCCACCACCATGGACACCAGCGATACATGGACAGCTGGGAAAGCGTTATTTCTGGATGTGTCTGTGAGGGTTTTCAGCAGGAGACTGGCGTGTGAGTTGACGGACTAAGTGGCAAGTTCCACTCTCAATGTGGGAGGGCATGGAGAAGACAAAAAAGTAGGAGAAAGGCAAATTCATGCTCTTTCCTGGAGCTGGGACATCCTTCTCTTACCATTGGACATTAGAACTTCAGGTTCTCAGGCTTTGAACTTGGACTTGGACTTGCACCAGTGGCCATGAGACAGACCTGAAGTACAGACAGACCTGGACCCCCAGCTTCCACTACCACAGACCTCAAGGGTAATACAGGGCATCGAGGAGGTGCTAGGTACATGCTTACTTTATTGAGTCGGGGATTTGGGGCCAAATGTCTGTAGGGCCTCCTGCTCTGGAAACTCAACTGAGAATCCCCAATCCTTTTCCCTGAGCCCCTCGGCAGGGAAAGGTAAGAGCCAAGGCCCTGCAAAGAAGCCACCTAGGAAGGAAGACAGGAAACGGAGCAGTTCAGTTCAGTTTCTCATAATAACCCGCACGCTCTCCACTGAGAGCTCTAGTACCCAGCACAAACAATTCTGTCCCTCCAAGACTGTACTCTGTGACCTTGGCCTTTGTAGAGTTCTTCTTTTTTTTTGGAATTAGGGGAGTGGCAGGCTCTGGATTTCCGTTAGTTAGGGTGTGTAGACAATGAGTGCTCCCTTGTGGATTGTGAAGTCAAGTGTCCCAGGGTCTTAGGAGCAGTGGGGAGAGACTGGCTGGCTTAAAGACCAGCAACCACTTGGCCATGGCTGTCCTTTTCTGGAGGAGCTGTGGCTGCAGCAGATCCCTGTGACTTAGTCCTACCCTTCACAGGGCCTGCACCAGCACCAGGAGGCTCATGACCAGGGCCATGGAGAAGAAGATGCCCAGGAAGAAGCGGTCCATCACACGGGCCAGGTGCTTCCAGTCCTCATGGCAGCGCTGTGCAGCTCGGTGGCTGCGGAAGGTATTGGCAATGGTGGCTACATGGTGCAGTAGGGCTTCCTGGTGGCACAGACATCGTGGCTCGTGGCAAGGGCCCGCTGGGGGGCCAGCCCCTCCTTCGGGAGACTGGGGGCTAGAGGATAACTCAGGTGACCTGGACTGCCCACAGGGCTCCCCTCTTTCCTGCACGCACAGGCTCTGTGCCAGGTGTCCCAGCAGGAGGGCCCTAGCCCAGGCTGGCACTGGGCGGGCACTGGGACCACAGTAATGCAGGTTCATGATAAGGATAGTGAGTGCTGTTGAGAATGTGACCATGGTCATAGTGGCCATGTAGTACTTCCCTGCAAGAGAGAGAGAAAGCCAATTGGGACTCAAAACAAAAAGCCTGTGGATCCTGAGCTTCCCAGTCACCTCTACACAAATGGAAATAAGCCCACCATGAGGCTCTCCAGACCCTCCAAGCCCCATGGATGGAAGCAGGAAGGAGGTAAGGGCCAAGTTCTCCCCATCCTTCATTCCTACACGTGGGTCATCAGAAGCTACTGCTCCCTAATTGCTCTCCTCACTGCTGGAAGCTGCACGCATACACAATCCAGGACAGTCCCACTCTCAAATAACGATGGGCATGAGCTGGGGCAAGATACGAATCCTTTTTGTACAAATGGGATAACCAGAGGACCTACTTCCTAGGTTTGTGGTGATGTTTACCTGAGTTAATAAAGGTCAAGTGCTTAGGGGAGTGCCTGGCACACGGTGAGCAGTCGATGGATTTTGCCTATTACTAGGATCTGGGGATACTGATGTTCCACCATCAAGACCCAGTCGTGAGGAGTGTTCTCCCTGGAAGGAGCTAATCTTTTCCCCTCAAAATTAGGGGACGTTCCCAGGACGCCCCCGCCTCATTCTCTGAAGCGGGCCGTTCGGCAGACCCAGGCCCTGTCGCGGCCCCGCCCTGGGGGGGCCCCGGCGCATCGTCAGGTTCCCCCGCACCTCCGCTGCTCACCGATGAGCGGCACGCTCTCGGCCGGCGGCATGCTCTCGGCCAGCAGCAGCTGGAAGACGGTGAGCGCCAGCAGCACCGTGACGCCCAACGACACCTTCTCGCCCGAGTCGGCGGGCAGGTGGAAGGCGAGCGGCGCAAGCAGCGAGATGAGCACGCAGGGCAGCAGCAGGTTGCACACGTAGGCGGCGGCGCGGCGGTGCAGCAGCAGCGTGAAGGTGACATCGGGGTAGGGCTCTGAGCAGCAGCCGTAGGTGAGCACGCGCCGCTGCGCCGGCATACCCAGCACGCGCCACTCCACGTTCTCCACGAAGTCCGCCAGGCTGGCGGCAGCGCCGCGCGGCCGCACATCCAGTTGGTGCCCGCCGTGAGTCCAGGAGCCGAACGTCAGGCCGCAGCGCTGGGCGTCGAACGGGAAGGCCGCCACGTCCACGGGGCACGAGCTGCGCGTGATGGCCGGTGCGTCCCAGCGCACGGTGCCATCGTGGCGTAGGACCACGTTGGTGCTGGCCGAGCCTGGCCGCTGCGCGTCCGCCCTGCGGGCAGGCGGGGCGGGGCTTGGCTCACCCAGGCTGTCCAGCCCGAGAAGCAGCCCTGGAGGCCAGGAGCCCAGGGCAGACCCCCAGGGTCTGAAAGAAACCAAAACTTCTCCCCAGAATATTGAGGCTCATTAAGTTCGAGACACGACCGCAGGGGAGCACCTGGCCCCAGTAGCTGCTGGCCTGATGGCAAGACACCAGCCCTTCCTTGCTGGAGACAGCACTTGCTTTTCCAAAGGGCACCAGTAGGTGCCAGAGGAATCTGGGAACAGATTTTACCCTCTTCCCACGTTTTCCCGCCTTTTAAAGGCTGGAACTGCTCTCCTTTGTCTTGCCACTATTTACAACTTACTGGATCTTTCTTGAATTTCTATTTAAGCAAGGCCTCTAAGCCACTGCCTTCAGAGAGAAATACTTTTGAACTAAGGCCTCTCCCGTGATGGGTACAGCAGGTTAATAAACTTCTGCTTGTGGCCGGGCACGGTGGCTTACGCCTGTAATCCCAGCACTTTGGGAGGCCGAGGCGGGTGGATCACGAGGTCAGGAGATCGAGACCAACCTGGCTAACACGGTGAAACCCCGTCTCTACTGAAAATACAAAAAAATTAGCCAGGCATGGTGGTGGGCGCCTGTAGTCCCAGTTACTTGGGGGGCTGAGGCAGGAGAATGGCGTGAACCCGGGAGGCGGAGCTTATAGTGAGCGGAGGTGGCGCCACTGCACTCCAGCCTGGGAGACTGCCTCTCAAATAAATAAATAAATAAATAAATAAACAAACTTCTGCTTGTTTTTCTTTCGTTAATTTGACTCTCGTTTTCAGAACAAAGCAACACAGAGGGTGGAGTGCACCTAGAGAGACCTGCTGCTTGGAAGGGGTGGCGCCTGAAGGGCCCAGAAGGGACACAGAGGTAGCCAGAGGACGTATAAACAGGCCTCTGCAGAACCCAGAGGCAACTCCGGGACACACAATGACTTCCCTTGGGGGACATCTGCAAAACTTATAGAGGGGCCCCAGAGAAAATATGCAGAGGGGCCCCAGAGAAAATAAAGCAGTGTTCCAGATGTCCTGGAGGAAAGAGAACCTTAGGCAGGCTCTTGGGGGAGCCCTGAGAGACTTAGGGCTAAAAATGTGCCCTAGAGAGGCCCTTGTGATCCAGGCATCTGCCCTGGACCACACAGTAGGTTCCCAGGAGACGTTCAGCCTGGGCTGGCCTGGGATAGCCTAAAGTGGGGGTGCCATGGAGGGGCTGTGAATGCCTGGCAGCTTAGAAGGGTCCTGGGGAAAAGTTTCCAGGGCAGCATGGCAACCGGGGTGTGTGGTAGGGAGAGGGGATCAGTGCACACCCATGGCTAAGGGCAAGTCTAGAGAGGGGTAGGAGAGGGGAAGAGCCCAGATAGGCAGTACTTGTTATAGAGTACGATGTCTGGCCGCCACACAAGACTGCTGGGGATGCGGATGGCATCCAGGCCGCCATAGGCATTGGGGTCCCATTGTAGGTAGGCATCTGTCCACTCCTGCCGTATCCACAGATACAGGGTCAACACCTGGTTCCGTTCATCCTAGTGGGGGCAGGGGATGGCAGAGATGTGGACATGTATATGCATATCCTGCCCCGTCTGTGCACACTCCCCTGCAGGGCTCGGGTCAGCACCCACAAACCTGACTTGTCCATACTGTCCAGTTCCCACCCAGACCTGACCTTGCCATGTGACCTTAGTGGGCTCTTCTCTTTTCTGGGACCATTTCCTCAGCAGTTATATGAGGTGAGAATCCCCGCTTAGCAGGGATTCAATAAGTTCAGGAGTGCAAAATGTTGGGCACAAGGTAGGCACCCAACAGTCAGTATCCAACAGTTGGTAACTGCTATCTTTATTAATATTAACATTTACAGAAAAGGAATTTCTGTGGAGAGAAATCCCAGTCTCTCACCCCTTCATTTCTTGACACTGTGACAGGTAAGACTCCACAGCTGTACCACTACCACAACGCACCATGTCGATGATCTGGGACAGTGTCACCTCCAGGGTCACATTCAGAGTCTGGTCTGTGTCTGCCACAGGTCTCAGGGCACTTGTGTAGTTGGCGAAGAGGTCACGGAACAGCTTGAGAGCCAGCCGGCCCTCAGCTCCCAGGCACTCTAGAGGGTCAGTAAGGAGGGTTGTCCATCCCAGGCCCTAGTCTCAGGGCCTTTGCTCACACCCTCCACTCCCAGGGCTGAGGCCCTGTTCTT